ACTTTTTAATAGTTAGGACGCTTCGCACCCTGACCACTCATGATCGCTTCGCATATTTTATTGTTTTTCTTCTTAAAAATTTATACTTTCTACAAAAATAAAGAACATTTGGTTTATTCAATGTATATTATTGCAATTTTACGTAAGAACACTTTGTTTACAAGTTGACTGTAACGAAATGAACAATTACAGGATTTAAATAATAAATTGTACTGGAAAAAATAAATTAACCAAAAAGAAATGGGATTCAATTTCGCGACTCAATAAGAAGAAAAAGTAAATTTACTTGTTAACGAGACTTAAATCATTATAGTAGTTCAAACAGGAAACAGCTTTTCTCTCTCTTGAATTTAATTTTTTACATATTTAAAAAATTTCCATATAAATCTTGAGATCAAGATCAATCAATATTAATCTGACTATCTTTAATCTCTTTATCTTCATGGCAACATCTACGTTCGCAATCAACTCAAGCTTGAGCTTTTAAAACAAAGATCTTGAGCTCGAGATGTCTCAATGATTCTGATTCTATCTTTCAGATATCTATTCTCTATATGTTGAAGGTCAAACATACTAATCAATTCACAAATATGCATGTTTATTCAAAATAAGAAAAAAACAAGCATTAGTGTCGTATAGAAAACGCAACCATGCGGCATAGTTTAAATCTCTCCATTTTAAAAGGTCCTAAGGGCCGCCTCCGTTTTAGGTGTTAAACTCAAAGTTGAAATTTATTTTGCAGAGCAAAAATATTTAGAAATCTGAAATTAGGAAGGTGGGTAGGAAAAATGAACAGATAATACAAAGGAATAAAAAAAAATTATAATATTCAATAATTAGTTTGAGAATTATTAACTATTATACTGAAAAAATAAAATACTTGCCGAACTACAGAGTTGAAATTTGGTAGACTGAAAGAGCCAATTTGTTTTTGAACATATCACACAGTTTTTCAAAATTCTAATTTGTTCGAAAGTTATTGCAATTTTAAGTGCTTTTCTTACGATTTTTTTCCAATTTTTTTTATTTTAAGATATATTTTGTTTTGCTGCACAAAATCTATAGCACTTAGAAACGTGCAATTAAGAAGGTATGTAGAAAATGTACAAGAAATTTGAGGGAATGAAAAAATTGATCAATGATATTGAGAATTATCAATTGTTAAACTTGTAATTAAACAACAAAAACCATGTTGCCCGATCTACTGCTTGCTGAAATGCAACTAAGAGCTGTAAGTTGACTAGCTGAAAGTGCTATTTAAAATTATATATTTAACGAGAGTTAAAAGAGAGAGGGGCCTCCCTGGCCGAGCGGTATCGCCGGTCCAAACTCTCTGTTAAGCGTGGAGGTAGCGGGTTCGAATCCCGCCGTAACCCTGGATGTATTCTTTGTGATGTCTTTCTCTGAATTGTTCTATCTGTATTTTCTACTTGACAATGACTTATAAGCCTATACTGAGCACACAAGTCAGCAAATGTATGTAATTTCAATAAATCAATCTTAAAAGAGAGAGTGATTAGATGTTGCCAGAAGTATGAAAGTCGGTTTCTATTTGATCTGTGGCTTATATGTCTAACGATATTATATGTCTCGTTCGTTAATAAGTAAAATTATTTTTAACTCATCTCTTCGTATCGTACCACAAAATTCATTCCTACTTTTGATTTTTTTTAATGAAGTTAACTGCAATTTCTAATCCAGGTAATCTTTTACTTTATTAAGTAGTGAAAAAATAAGTCCAGGCAATCTTTTATTTAATCCAGTTAAGTAAAATTGGTAGATTAGGAATTTATAATTATATTTTAATTAACAATATAAAATTTAAGTACCTCCATATCGAACGAAGTTTTTTTTTTAATTTTTTATTCGCGATATGTGTATTTTTTGAAGTTATACTTCTTATGCGACTTCCAACAAGGTTGCGTTAAACGTTTAACGCTACATTTTTATTGCCCGGGAAATCACGTGGTTGGATCCAGTTTTCCATATTGTTTTGCTTCTCACTAGCATAAAAATAATAAAAGTATTGTTTTTCTATAAATATTTTTTTTAGTTTGTTTTGATACACATATAATTTAATAATGTAGTATTTTTTATTTTCAAATTTAGTGGACAACAATTGTAAAAAATGCGTGAAAACAATTCCACGGACAATGCGACGGATTTAAGGTTATGTCAAGGTACGTCTCTTGTGAATATCAATTGATTGTTAGGTTTTCTCTTCTGAAATTTCATTATGACGCATTCACATACATTATTAATACAAATACATTTTCCAGGGCGAGACGATGAGGCAACCACAAACACTTCCACTGGTTCAAGAGGTCCACGAGGGAAAAATGCACAATATTACCGTGATTACAGAGCACGGAAGTGAGCGGAGCAGGAAAAAGAGTCGTTGAATAGAACTAGTGATCCTTCTACGACTGCTGATTCTTCTACAATTAATGTCGGAGGTTGCGAAGTTTAACTTCTTCCGCGCGGAGGGACTCCACGCACTATTTTTTTTCAATTTAGTTTGAGAATTCAGAATAAAACTTAAAAATATAATATTTTAAGATTTTTTAATTTGCTTCAAGCGTATAGTTTAAAGGAAGAAAATAAAATTGAATGAAGGAAATCTTATAACTTTTATCGGGTAGACTATATTTGATTGTGCCCCTTGATTCTCCCCAAGCTGGGTGATGAAACCCAATCGTGATTCTGATTGGTTTAGATTTTAGCGTTATTTTTAAATGTTCATCGGTATATGTAATTTCAGACGTCCGTTAGTTCTAAGTTGGATACCGGCTGGTAAGGTTACTTTTGAATCTGGTCAATAAGATCGAAGGTATGTGGGCAGTCATAAAAAGAAATATCATTCTGGCTGCTATTCCTGTTACCACGGTGTTCCGCGCAAACATAAGTCGCTAATTTCGCCAAGGGGCACTCTCCAGTATATTTTCCCCCTTTTATCGTTTGATTGAGTCATTGTAAGAAACTGGGATAAAAACTGCTATCAATTATTCCACTTCAAATAAATAAAGTTTCAGATACAACTATTGCTCTGTAACTTCAATTTATATATAAATTCTTGTTCGTTTATTTTGTTCTAAATAATATTACGACTTAATGTCTTTTTTTTTTTAACAATATATTGTTGAATTTCTATTCTCCTCTATATTAAATAAAATTGGTGTTAGAATAATATTATAAAATTCTTGTTAACAAAATGTTTTTGTTTGATAATTATATTTCAATAACAAAAATTTTCTTCGCTAAGTAATTAGATACTTGCAAAAGACGGCACGCATTGGTTCACCAATCAGAATCGACATACAAGTATGATGTAGCCAAAAAGTATAAAAATAAATCGAATACAAAAATTGATTCAGCTAAACTAAAGACTTAAAGTTGTAACGTTAACACGCCACACACAACTACACGAGTAGACAAATATGAGGTTAGTTGTAAGTACCCAATCGTTTCGGTGGAAATAATTTCCACCCTCGCCACATCAGCTCATCTTGATATCCTGGAATCCTATTTTATTCTTTCGAAAGCCGATTCCCCTGTTAATGACATTAGTTCCTCCACACTTATCCATAACATGTCAAAAGTACATTTTACCCTGATTTGCCTCTCTGCCACTGTGTTTTTTCTTGTTCTGTTTTTCATCTTTTTTTTTCCTAACTTGGCTTTGGGCCGTGGTAGCCTAGAGGTTAGAGAATTGGTTTTCATTCTAGAGGACCCGATGTTCGATCCTCGACTCCGCCAAGACCCACCTGGTACATGCGATATACGTGCTCTTAAAATCTGTGGAATTGAAAACCCTGTGGTTGGTTGCTGAGCTGTACCACAAGTACAGAGATCCAAAGAAAATTTCCTTGCCCTTTAGTCTAAATTGAGGAAGTGACCTAACAAATAAGATCTCTTTTGCAGAGGATAAAAATTAAGATAGGTCTTCAGAGCATCCTCGTGGGTGTTTCCCAGAGCGTCGCTAATAGCACATTGTGCAGCTCTATTGATACCTCTTTCAGCTTCTATGGTTCTCTAATTTTTCTTTCTTACCTTTATTTCCCCATTTTTCGTTGACCACTTTATGTTTTTTTCCAAATCATTATTGTTGCACTACTTTCAAGTCAGTCAAGTCTTAAAAATGGGTGAATATTTCTGATGTGCTTGAACCATGTCGACTGTCCTTTCGTTTTTGTATATTTTTGAAGCGTATAAAGTTTTTGATCAGGTAAATTTTACCGCTTCAGTTTTTTGGAATTTATTTAAGAATGTTGTCTTTATAGCAGGTATACAAAAAGTAGGAGTGTTTCAGAACTCAATTTACTCGCATCATTATTATTTGTATTGCAGGGTCATAACTAAATGTATAGATATTTTACAGTAAAAACAAAAAAAGTGTGATTAATTGTACTTCTTTTTTTGAGAAATCCTTAAAATAACGCTAAAACAATACTGATAACAAAAAAAATTTAATAATTTAAAGCATTTCAATTGTTTACAAAAGTTCCATAAAAGTTATAAAAATATGAATTATGTACAAATAAAAATATATTAATGTACAAATATATACTCTGATAACATGGGATTAAAACAAATCCATTTCAAATTCATAAATAAAAATAGTGGTATAATATCTCAACAATGATATTATATTAAAAATATAAAAGTGAAATTTTAAAATAAAACAAAAGTGAAAAACTTAAAAGTGAAATTTTCTAACAATAAGAATTCAAAACACAAACAATAGAAAAGATTTCATATACAGTAAAAGCTCCAAGTTACAAAGCTCAATCCAGGGGGCACACTATTCTATATTGTAACCTTAAAAATTACTGATAAAAACTTTATATTTGAAGAAGGATAATTAGAATAAACATAAACTTGCATAAAATTTATCATTGACACTAATGTTGTCATTTTTAAAAAACAGCTTCAATAAAAAAATTTAATTTAGTTTACAATGAAGCTGTGGTGACAGAATTGCATGATAGAGAAATTTCATGCAATATATTAAGTACATAAAATTGAATGGTATTATTTTCAGTCATTTAAAAACATATAATTGTGCTATGTTCTCATTCGGCTGAATATTAATTCCTATACTTTTCATCATAAATTGAATAAATATTTAAAATATGGTTTCTTCTGACATGATGTCTTCACAAGTAAATGAGCATTCTAACATCGCAGCTGCTTCAGCCGTTATGATTTCATCTTCATCAGAGGTTAAATCTGAATTTGAATTTTCCTTAGATAATTCATTTGTATCTTCATTAAAAAAATTTTCATCAATGGCGCTATTAAGATAGACATTGTTATTTTCCGGTGCTTTGGAATCTGAAAAAAAAGAAGCTTATTTAAAGTAAGTGAATGAAGTTTGAAGGGAGTTTATTTCTCAATTTTTATGAATGTCAAAAATTAGAAGTAAATTTGGTTCATTTAGTAAAAATCTTATAACATGGGTAGATATTTAGGGTGGGTTAACATAAGGTAGAAATAAAACTGAAACAGACATTTGTCTTCCATATTTGACTTCAAAAAACCTGCTTGTGAAAAAAAATATATAACAACAGAAGCTTGCCTCCCCCCTTAACCCCATGCATTACTATAAATTATGAGCGCTCGCATCGGAGATTTTAAAAACTCAGAGCATTTTATGAATTTTTTACGTCTTTGATATTCTGTGAAAGGGATACAGGGTGCAAATGCAAATGTATGCAATGGCAATTAATTTTATTTTTACTCTCCTGAAGTAGTTGTAGCTTTAAAGAAACTATTTGACATTCCCTTGGAGGGGATAGTATTATTTTAAAATAAACTCTTTTGAATACCATTACGGTTTTGTCGCAAAAGACAGTGAATTTTGCTGAGCAAGGAAATTATCTACAGGTGACACTGTAGTTAGACAAGTTATAAATTGTGGAACAATAAATATTCAATTTGCTAGTCTAAAAAATTTGCATTTTGAGTATTATTGAAAATTACGTTAAGTTGACACAAAGCGTTAAGAAACTTAATCACATATGCTAAAATAATTGAGACATTAAGAAAAGAGATCGCCCATCATATTTTAAGTCGTTAAGGAGACGATTGATTTAATCATGCTGAATTAGCACAAGAATTGGACATTTACATAACATCCAAAAATATATCACACAGAGAAACATCAAGTCATAAATATGCAGAAATTACATTTTCCTGAAGCCAATGCAGAAACTTACGGGGAAAAAACCTTAATGTACAGTTTACCCAATTTCTTGATAGACTATTAAATAAAGATAAACATTGCTACCTATGTGGAGATATTAAGCAAGTCTGAAACGGTAAAAAAAATCATACGTCGTGAGAGAAGAAATAAATTAATCCTCATCAGAGAAACCTATAAATAAATCTTTGTCCTGCAATGCTGCACATTGGTAGCTTATAGATTTTGATATTAAAATATTGAAGTTAAAATATTGAGAAAAGATGGAAAATAATAAAAAATAATGACAAGAGAAGAAAATTATTAAAAATATTTTTCAAAAGTATTTAAAAAAAATATTTTTTATACATTATTATTATATTTATATATATATTATTCATTATATTTTTATTACATTATACATACAATATATATTATTATTATTACAGTCGAACTCGTTAATAACGAGCACAAAGGGACCATAACATGTACTCATTAAATCCGAGTGCTCGTAATAAACGGGTCCTTAAGGCAGGCGTGCAACCAGAAGAGGGGGGGGAGGGTTTGGAGGTCAAATTATTGAGTTTACATAAAATTTAATTTATACTTACTTACTTAATTTAATTAAATACTTTTCTTATTTTAATGACAACTATCCCCCCCTCAACCAGCAAAAAATTTCTAGTTGCGCTACAGTCTTAAAGGAATTAAGCAATAAACAGAAAGAAAAATAAAGGAAAAGATTCTTACCAAAACATTTATTTTTTTCATTAATCTACATATTTAAAATAGTAGTTTGTCAGCTTACTTTGAAGTTTCAGTTCGCGGTTTTTTTTTTATTTTGCGCGCATTTCTTATCATTTTGAAAAAAAGATTGCAAGACAGAAAAATATTGCTCCCTAAAACCGGGTCTTGTTCGTTAAAAGCGACTTCTGTTCCATAGACTTAACATTGATCCAACCAAATATTCTCGTTTCCCTCGGTAAATCCGAGTTCTCGTTAAATCAGAGCTCGTTATAAACGAGTTCGACTGTGTATATATATATATATACCGTCAAACCCCGCTATAGTGAACTCTCGGTTATAGTGAACAAAATGTTCGTTCCCGTGCCTTGCTATACGCATATAATATTATTTTTTTTGTGGAAGTAGTGAACCAAAAGAAAAGAGGAAATTGGTTATTGTGAACTTTTTTGTCTTCGACTGATTTTTTCCTTCATTTTTTGGTAATTTTGTAATTTCTACATAAAATACATATACCGATTTTTAAAACCATCTATTGAGTGAAATGTACTATAAGCATTTTTTTGTTTTGTTTGCTTCTTCTATCTCAGTTTCCCATCCCTAAATTTTTTGTACGCAAGACAACGAGTAATAAAAAATGAAAATCAACATATTTTTTGTTACTACATATTGTTTAATCATTTTTGTATTTCTTTTTATTGGTGATTTATTTTAATAATGTGTTATAAAAGGGGGCAGTTCGGAAAAATTAGTTAAAATTGTTTGCAGTACTGATATAGTGAACTCCCGGTTATAATGAACCAAAACTTTGGTCCCTTGAAGGTTCACTATAACGGGGTTTGACTGTATATATATATATTGGAGAAACTTTTATTATACAAATAAGAGCAGACATACCAGTTCTTTCTGTCATATCATCACTTTCAAAATCATTTATTGAAGCATCATCAAAATTTATATCTTGTAATGAGTTTGAATCCTCCATAACATGTTGAACTGGTGCATAAGTTTCAGTGTTAACTGAATCCTCCTTAATAGCTGGATTTAACTGAGTGAAAGGGAAACTGTCTTCAAAAAACGAATCTTCAACCAATATATCATTGAAATTTTCAACTTTCCTATCTTCTTTCTTTTCACTATTCTCTGAATTTGATAATGTTTCAGTTTGTTCCGATTTTAATTGTGAAAAACATTCCACGTCAAAGAAGTCTTCAGGTAGATACAATGATAAAGGAAGTGATATAGCTAAAAAGAGATTTTTTTAAAAAAATGAAAGCTCTTAAAACTTATAGAAAAGAAGCTTAGATGATTTTTTTAAAAATAGATTATTATCTTATCAATACATAATTTTAAATATCAATTCATATTTTTGTACTTTTTTTTTAAACAACTTTTTTTCAGATAAAGCAACGTGAACAGTTTTCTCAATACTAATGAAATTGGAAGTGCATCACTAACTGAAAATAGGCATATTTAGCAAAAGTGTTACTGTATCTTAACCAATTAATTATTAACCACTCCTCCAGAAGCAGTTAATAAATCAGGTATTTTTCATAGCCGTGCTGTTTAATGAAAAAAAGTACTGTGGGTCATAAGTGGATATTTTAATTAGTTTATCACTAGTTGATGTGACAAATTAAAGCAGAGAATTACGTAAAATAAAACTTTAACTCAATAATAATAATCCCTTAAAATTAATTAAAATTTGTAGAAAAAAACATTAAGTTTTTGTTAAAGTTATGCATTTTATTTCAGTTTATAACTTATTATTCATAATCAATTAAAAAACTCTTGATATTAATTCAAAAAAGAATTCATAACATACGCTGTATTTCAAAAATCTCTTTTTTTAAAAGAAATACTAAATAAAAATTGCAATACAAACGACTTACTTTCAGGAATATTCATTTTATTTTACATTTTACTCTTAGATGTTTTAAGTATGTCTATAAACAAATCCCCTTTGGTGACCAGCTAGGTCAACTTTCAAAATTATCTTGTACAACATATAGACTTTGATGGTAACCAAGCCGAATGTACAGCACAATTGAATTTAAATATTCTAATTTTTTAACCCTTCTTTCAATTCTAACAACTTAATTAGTTTTAAATATTATATTACCAATTTTTTTTACCATCCGGCTGTTGCCCACATGGAAGTACTTTGATTATAATTTTAGCGACTTTTAAGAAATGCCCGCGATATTGTCAAAATTCTTTATGCATTTTAAATTTCAGCAAGAGTTTAAAATTCGACCAGCAGCCATTAAATCACCAAAAACCACGATATGTAGGGACATTTAAGCATGGTAGGCTGAGATATATAAAAATATTTTGATCTCTGTCGTGAGATAAAATAAAAAACTCATTCATTATGTGCTGCACTACTTTCTCCCACATATCTCTAATCATAACTTGAGTATCATTCAATACATATATGATTTTGCTTGGAAAAGGCAAGTTCCCTCACCAATAATTGTTATGTGGCAGTATAAGGCACCATAGCATCATTTATGTTTAAAATTTCTCCTCCATTTTTAGAAAAGGTAAAAAAAATTTTTTTTTTTTTAAACAATTTATTATTTCATAAACAAGTCTTTATTTCTATAAAAATGCAAAATTATTCTAAATAAATACTTGACATATAACTAACTATTCAACACTGCTTAAATTATTACTTAAGAAAAGACAATCTAACAAAATGAATCTTAAAAAATACTTAACGTATAATTAACATTTTTACACAACTTAAATTATTACTTATGACAACTTAACAAATTGCATAAGTATAGTGTGGCAAAGAATAGACAGAGAAATACCAGAGTTTATGGTGCCACATACAAGAAATATCCATATACATAATAATGAATAAAATGTTTTAAACATATGACTCAAAAATCATTAAAACCTTTAAGTGAAATTTAATTTACATATAAGTATTATACTATTGTATATAAATTATAACATACCGACTGATTTGTAATTTTCAGCTCGGCATTCAGGATCATGGCACTTTTGGTAATAGTGTTTTTTTCTTAAATCAACAATCAGCCTGAAACAAATAACAGTACAGTAGTGCAAGAAATAAATTGTGATCAATGATAAAATTTATGAAGCATGAGAAATAAATAGGAATTTTACAAGCTTAGAATTTTAATTTATACTTAAAATATAAATATGCATAATATAAACAAACACTGCTCTTTCTGTTTACAGAAAATTTTTCATCGTTGTGGAAAACGTTTTAATACTGCTCATCATTAAAAAATAATAATAAATTTTTCCTCACTCAATATTTTCCCCCGTTCTACCCTACACTCAATATAATTTTTTGTACTATTATATATAATAAAAAAAACAAGATTATTAAGTACAAAATAATTGAAAAGTGAATATTATAGTAGTATTTATTAAATGCTAGTACCGAAAAGTTTCTGAGTGACTTAGATTTTGGATATATAAAGAAAGTCAAGTATAAGGTAAAAGAGATAAGTTAATAACTAGTTATATATATTCAAAAAACTACTAAATTTAAAGAAATATAAGTTGGTATGCATAATAATCAACATAACGTTTTATAAAACATAAAACACCGAGAAAAAAATCAGTATTTTTGGAATAAATTTTGACAAAATTAGGTGACAATGAAAGGGTTGAAACTAATTGCAAGTGTCAAAAAATTGGTTGCAGAATATTTCTCAATTCAGATTTTGCAGTCACAGAAAGTTTTTCATCTTTATCTAAGTCTCATTAGTTATCAATTATGTATAAAATTAAATACATATAAAGTAGTAATATTTGATGCAAGACATAAGTTTTATTTCAAAATACACGATAAAACAAAATCTATCTTTTGAGACCTAAAACTATAAATTTCACAGTTAGCTCATGAATATTTATTAAAAAAAAGAGAAGAATAATAGCAAATTCTTCAATAAGTACTACATGTTTTTCTTAAAAAAATGTGAAGAATTTCTTCTCGCTAGTCAAAAAGAAAACAAATATTTCCCAAACTGCATATTTTCTTAAGATAGCCTTCTTATTTTAGATCATGCAGTTGATAATCTATTTTGATTAATTTCATAATATTAAAATAAAATACAGAGTTATGAAATTGAAAGAGATACTTACATTATATTATTACTTTTATGATGGCGACCAATATTAGAGCAATACCTGTAGTTTCCTATCTCATAAACTAAAATTTCTTCTTTTTCAATGTAAGACCATTTACGAATAAAACCTGTTATTCTATGATCATTTACTTGACTCAAAACAAAATCATCAATTTCAGGGAAAGGAGATGGGCCATTGTTTGATAATCCTAAAAATTCACAAATATCATAAAATAACAGAAAAATAACACAGTAGACATTATTTTTGAAAATATAAAAAAAAAAAAATTATAACTATGTAGGAAAAAATTGGTAAAAAGTTTAAATTTTTTATAATTTAAAAAAAAAAAGAAGAGAGAAATTTATTTACCATATTCACAAAGTTTCTCCTTGTTTTTTACCTGATGGTACTCAAGTCTTTTCAAAACATCAGTTACACACTTTAAATTGTGGTGTATCTTAATTTCTAACTTATTGGTATCAATTGATTATACATAATCAATTCATGCCAGTAAGTTAAAAATAAAATAAAAACGAGAGATAAAATCCACACACTATTTTTATATAATAATTAACAAAATTTTAGCCAGGCAAATCTTATCAGTGCCATTCAATACTAGAAATCAAATACCATAGCCAAAAGTCGTAAATTTATGCCTAAATTTTTTTTATTTATATTCAATGTTATTTTAGCCACAAAATACTGTTCTAAGATCCTAATATAAACTTTAAAATCATAAATGGTTTTTAGTTCCCATGTATCGTAGAAATTATTAAGAAATAGTTTAACTATCAATTTTAACTTAATGAATAATTTCAGATAAAAGGTTTTATCAAATAAATTTAGATAAGTATATTGTATAACTTATTTGGAAAGATATTTATATGCGGAAATATTCATTGGAATACATCAAAAATGATCTAGAAAACAAATACAGAAAAAATACACTTCTTAATTTCTTCCTTATTTTTATTACAATTTTTTAAATTTTACACTAAGATTTTAACTAAGTTATCAAAAACACTTAGATCTATATAACAAAATAATAAGTATAATGATCCAGTGCGGGCTAGCAGCCCACTGAGCTTCAGATTAATTGGTACCAACTTATCTTAAAAGTAAAAGTGGCTTGGGTGCAAATATTGACCACCATTATGTTGTTGGTTATGAAATTGTGGAGTCTTAAACTCTCTGGACCACTGCAGGCTGTTGTAAAAATGGTTTTTTTAAGCATTATAATCAAAGCACAGTCAAAATCTATGCAGTTTGCATTTGCACTTTAAAAGTCAAAATTTATATTTACCAAAATTACTGCTTCGAGATTTAAATGAAAGGCCTTCTCTTGAAGAAGCTTCCATCATGAAACTATCTGAACTGGACAAAACTCGTAAATTCTGTACGTTTTTCCTGAAAAGTAAAATAATAAAAACATGTTTTTTGCCTATTTAAAAGAAAAAAATGCCAGTTTTGTGATTACAATAACAATTTTTAAAACATTAACAAGGAAAGAAACTGAACAAAGCTCCATGCTAGTAAAGTTGAAAATATAGAAGATAATGTTTTTCTTTGTTTGACTTGAGAGAATTATCATGTTTAAGATTAATGAAACTAATCCTTTTACTTCATTTAGTTTTTTTTCTTCTTAAAAAAAATTAAAGATTATTTCAAAAATTTAATCATCATATTTTAATATTTGATTCATATTTCTGAAATTTGCATTTCTGTATTATGGATATACATAACTAAAAAATAAAAATTTGGTGAATTATTTAAAAAGAGCTCTATACTCTGAATAAATATTGAATGTGCTACATTCATGTTACAATTCAGACTTAAATAGGCTTAACATTAAAAACGTTACTATCATAATACTTACAAAACAAGGTAATTTAGTCTGAGGATATGGTAATGACAGTTACAGATATTTTTATTTGGGATATGACAGAGATGAGTTTGGTAAAAAACAAAAAAGTTAAAAATAGAAATCTAAAAATCATGTGTAAAAAACACATTTTAATGGTAAAAATACCTGAAGTCTGAGCAAGAAAAAAGTGTGTGTGTGAATCATATATCCATAAAATATCATTAACGCTTTAATAAAAAAATGTCAAAGCACAAATTTTTGTTCAACTTGCTTGAATCTTGATGAGTGTTTTTTAAACCGGTGAATATGAATTATGACGAGATTTTTAAATCACATAAATAAGAGTTTTGATGAGCAATTTTTAAATTCTATAAACACAAATCCCAGAATAAGATTTTTAAATCACTTGAATATAAGTCACGATGTGTGATTTTAAATTGCATGAATATGAATTGCAATGTGAAATCTTAAAATCGCATGAATACAGAACAAGATGAGCAATTTTAAATCACGTGAATATGGATTGCAATGTGTGATTTTAAATCCTGTAATTTAGATTTGTGTTTATATAGATAAGAAAAAGCATTTCAAATTAATCTTTTTTGAGGGAGTTTAAAAAAGTACTTTTTTTGAAGAAAAAAAACAAACAGAACATTTAATTTTATTAAATTGATGAAAAGATGGAATTCTCCCCAAAAGCAGAAAAATTCCCCTCTGATATGGGGAAATTCAAATCAATGACAAAGGTCTTTAAGAAGTATTGAACAAAGAAAACAAAACAATTTCATACATCAAGACCATTTTTTGAAATATCTTAAAAATCTAGCATAATTTGTCATTTCTAAAGAATATTTCTGATTTGATTATCCATTTCATTGTTACTCTAGCTTTGAAAGAAAAGTATGAAAATGCNTATATATATATATATATAACTGCCAACATGGGTAGGAAAAAAATCCAGTCGATTTTATGAAATAATATAACTTTCATGTTAATTGTTGCATAAAGTACTAAATATTTTATGCATAGGGAATTTTAGGGATTTTTATAGTCATCAAAATAGAAAAACAGCAATATTTTCCAGCTATGATGGACATGAAGTGTTATGTATTATGTTTACTGATAATTTTGAACACCAATAAGCATTTAATTTATCAAAGATAGTTAAAATATTTTTAAATTAGTTTAAAAAGGGAGCTGTGAATAAAAATAAACTGAACATATTAGGACAAAAAATTTTTTAAACTAGTTTCTATAAATGAGGCTTATTTTAATATTCAAGTAAGCAATAATCAAAAATTCTATTTCAATAGGCATTTTTTAGGAAGCTTACACAATTTTGGAGAATTTTCTAAAATGTACAAGAACCAGAATTTTTATCAAACCAGTAGACCAGGAGAAACTGGAAAAAATCCAGTAGAGTTGCTGGCTATGTATCTATGTATTGTTTGAAATATTGTAACTTAATATGAAACTAATCTGAAGAATATTTCAGATTCCACGCCAAAAAATACTGTATTTCATATTAATACTACCAAAAATTATAAAATAAGATTTATAAATTAAATGTGAAAATGAACAAAGTCAAACATTAACTTTTAGAGTATATTTTAAAACAAGGAGAGCAAGTTTCTTCCATAGTGGGAAAAAAACATGGTAAAAACCACACAGAGAGAAATAAATGTTGTTTTCTGCGATCTAGTTTGAATGATAGCATTAATTTCCAAGCAATTTAATAAAACAATCTTGAATGTGTGATAACTAGAAAGCAACAATTGAAAAAAAAAAAAATAATAAATTTATCGCATTTCTTAAAAATAATTGTAATCCATCAGTATTTTTCTCAAATGAGTTTTGCGAAACCTTATTTGATAACTATATAAATAACTGTTAAGATATCATAATCAAATTTTATAAATGCTACTAAATTAATAAACCAAATACTAAATATATTACAAATCACATTTTGAACTCATAATTGCAAGTACAGTGAAACCTTCAGAAGAGATCCCCTTAATTTATGACCACGTTTGGAAGGCACAAAATTTTTCCCATAAGCTTGGTATTGAAGAATACTTTTAGGAGAGACAATCAAAACCTCAAACATCTCCACCAAATGATGAAAAGGTCATGTATGGAAACATAAGAAAAAAATATTAACAAAACAAATAGGTAGATCAAAATGAATTCAAATATTTGTGTAGGGCTCCTATTTGGAGAACTCTTTCTGACAATCTCTATAATAACTTTATGTAAGTGCACAAAAGACGATGTTATCAATGATTTATTTATAGAGTTGCAAGTTAAATTAGAAAAAGCTTTTTTTAGATAATGTTAAAAATCTCAAGCAAATAAACGTCTTCTCATCTTTTAAAGCCTCTCATCGTTCGGCCTGGCTACTGACAACACATGTGCCATCTGTGGTGGAGCAGGAACAGTGTGGCACTATGCGAGGGTTGGCGAACCTTTATACACCAACGTGCCATTTTTTCTAAAAAATTGTTTAATGAGGTCATAGACGTGCCGCCAAATAATTTTGACCTCGTGATTATTGTGAAAATAATAATAACAAATACTATCAACTCAAAACTCTTTATTTACATTGAAAAAAATTCTTTTTGCAATGTCTCAGTTATACGCGCAATTCAACTTAAAGTAGCATCAGTGTTCTGTTGTTGCAAATTAGATGATAAATAACTTATATTAGGTTGTAAGATGTTAGTTTCAGCAGGACTGTTAATTTTTTTTTGATAGTTATTTATTGTTAGCTTGTTTTTCATGGTTATTAATTGTTCTTTTACAATTAATTGTCAATTTTTTTATTAATAATGGTTTATTATTTTGTTTGTTTTTTGATAATTATTATTTAATTGTTACATATGCTTCATAGTGTAATAACATTTGGGTATTGATAATTCATAGAGCAATAACAATTGTGATCGGTAGCGTGCCCAAAATATTTTTTCGCGTGCCATTGGTTCGCCATCCCTGCACTATGCAATAGAATGTCTGCTTACCACATCCTACCACTTTAAACAACCAAAGCTAGAATTCCTCATAGCCTGAAAGAGATTTATCAATAAGAATCCAAAGTTGAAATAGAAGGCAACAAACCTAATTAATTTTCTCAAAGAATACGAGGAAATTCTGATGTAATTTTCATGAAAAAATTATAAAACTACGTAATGGTGAGCACCAACCATTACTTAGCTTGAACAATTAGCCCTCAATACTTTCTAATCAAAATACCCTAACTAGAAAAATCTTTTCTTTTTTTTTGCATTATTTCTTTAAATTTTATATTTGTTATTTTTTCTTCTACTTTTTCTCTTTTTTCTATCTGTCATGTCTTCCAGCCTTAACCATTAACCGATATATGCCCTTTTAAGGCACAGTGTTAAGTGGTGTGTGTGATTGATAAAGTACTTAAATATTAAAGTTTACAAAAAACAATACCTGAAATATGTAACAAGGGAATCACAGAACATTAGTTCCTCAAACTCTCTTCGTGTTACATCTTTAGCTGGCACATACTGATTATATTTTGATACCACTAAAGGAGCCCTTTTGCCAAGCTTTGTGGACAAGAATAATCGAAAATTTCGATTTTTTGTATAGACACCTACAAATAAAATACACTCTTACTTTTAAAAATAAAATGAGTTATTTTATTTCGGCAGTTTATTAGAGGTAGTTAAAGAGAGTTTAAAAAAAATGGTAAACAAATTTATATATTTCTTAACGCAACACAGGATTAGGCCATAAAAATACTATTAGTTGGCTAATAATTACTTTTCAGTGCTACATTTTGATATTGAGTTTTAAGATTAACAAATTCCACGTACATCCACATCTCACTTGTTACGCTTTAATTTATGAGTTACAAATTGAGTTTCATATTCTCACAACTTAAAAAGAGTAATTGTGAACCCCATGTCAACAGTGTTGTTGTTGTTGAGTATAGAAAATCATAACATGGGTTTTCAAAAAATTTGAATAAAGTTACAAACAATGTTTACCTTTTTTGTTTGAAGGTAGAAAACAGAAAGGAATGTATAATCATATGTTAAATAATAAGAAATTTGCTATATTTATAAACATCAAATACATTTTATGATTTTGATATCTTTGAAACATAAATTTAAAATGCTATAAAAATCTAATTAAAAGTTTAGCAAATTCATTTTAACCAAATATTTTTTATGAGCACAAAAGACATAGGTTTAAAAAAAATATAGCATTTTAAACTAAGCTTCATTAAGATTTCATTCATCTTTGTAATAACATTAAACAAATATAATTTTATAAACATAATTATCCATATAAACTCATTATGAAACAGAAAATATATGATACAAAATAGTACATATTACACTATTACATGTGAAATAGATAAAGAGGTAAAACTATTAAGTCATGAAATTAAAAGAGTTGAGAGATATTTTGGAAGTATATGGAAGACGAAAAAAAAATCAGAGAAATGATGAAGTATATAGGAAGAAAAAATGGAATACTCAAAGGGAATAGTTGGGCTTTGAATTATTAAGCAATGAAGTTAAAATGATTGAGAAATATTAATGAAGTATACACATCTTACTTTACGGTAACAGAAGAGCTTTGAACTATTAAATGGATAAGAAATATTGATAAAGTATATATAGATCTTACATTATGAGAATATATGGCTTTGAATCATTACACTACGAAATTAAAATGGTGTAGAAATATTAACAAAATATATAGATTTTACTTTAAGGAAGCAGGTTGGCTTTGAACTATTAAGCTATAAAACTAACATGCATGAGAAATATTTATGAAATGTATAGATATTACTTTATGGGAACTGATGGGCTTTGAATGAGAGAAAAAATAAATACCTTATTTTAAACTATAGAACAGTAATCTATATCTTTTTTTTTTAATTTCACATCACTCAAGGATTTTTGTTATTTATTTGATTAATAGAATAACTTAATCAGCACATATCACTCATTATAGAGCCAAAATATAAATTAAAATTTTCAATAATTTGTTGACTTTTTATTATTTCACAACTAGTTTTCATTTTGATTAATTTATACGATTTCAGCAAATCTGAGCAGAAATTTATCACAATTTATAACTAGAACAACTCTGTGCTAGTAAAATTGTATTTTCTACTCCATGACACTTTAATATTCTATATTCTACTGAGTTAAAAATGAAGGTATCATATGACTATGACATATTTTCATAATATGAGAAAGCCTTTTCGACAATTTTAATACACAAAAAATAAAAAATACAATTTTTGATTTTAAAACAATAATTTCTACTTTTTCTTTTCAGAAAGTAGAAAACAAAAATTTGTCTTCATTAAAAGTGAAACATCAGCCAGTAAAATAAGAAAATGCAAATAATCATATTAATTCAAAAATGAACAAACAAAAACATGATAAAAATAATTAGCGAGTCCAATCAAAATTATTAATTCTAAAAATAAGTAAAAAAGGAAAAAACAGAGAAATGTGGAAATGTATTCAAAAATTACCATTTGAAAAGTATGAAAGTAATTTTATGACAAAATGAAAAGACTTTTATCTTAATATAATTATACAGAATCTCACATACTTATATGCAATCAACTAAATAATTCCTTTTATGCATTGGTTTGTATAAAATAAATACTGAAATTTCACTTTTAATAGCAACTAATACCATTTAATGGTAAGTAATAGGTGAGAAAGGTAATTATTGCACAATATAATTGTTATCACAAAATAAAAATAATCATAATATTAAAAAAAAATTAAATTACTTGAATCCCAGAAAAATGATTTCTTTTCATCTGCCTTCAGAATAATTAGTGATTTCAATTGACTACTCGATGGCCATAATTGATCAGAATCGGCACTGCTTGCTATTTTGGATATTATTTTGTGAGACAAAGATGACACAAAAGAACCTACAATTAGAAAATTCAAATTAAAAGTTTACAATATTTTTAAAGAGAAAAATGAAAAATTTGTAATAGTGTAAGGTAATAAATATTTCATAGTTGCGAATAATCAAAAAAAAGAAAAGAACAAGGAACTACTGTGGACAGTGAAATAACAAAAAAAAAAAAAAAAAAAAAAAAAAAAAAAAAAAAAAAAAAAAANAAAAAAAAAAAAAACAACAAAAAAAAAGCCTTTCTTTACCCTTTAAAAATTCCAAGTGATAAAAGCTGTAACTAAGAATTAAATAAAAATTTAATAAAGCAAAACAAGAAATCAATTTATTATCCAAATAGTACTTTCCATCAGAACTCGAATTATCTTATAAAATCATAAATAATTAATTAATTGATCAAATTAAAATTACAAATGATAAGTGTTCATGATGACAAGGAAAATGTTATATTGGACACAATTTTGAACACAGTTGACATTCAAGAAAATATTTTAAACCCCTAAATTGGAAAATTTTTAAGGATTTTAATTATTTGATATAATGCAAAATAATATTGATTCTTTCCACTGTAATAATTTTTGTCTATTACTGTCTATTTTTGTCTTATTATATGCAACTAGAACAATAGAAATCATTTGACAAAATAAATTTAATATAATATAAATTACATAAATGCATTTCATGCATAACAATTTAATTAACACATAAAAAAAATCCATTCAAAGTGATCAAATGTGTAAAGAAAGTTGTGAGAAATTATTAGGAGAGTGAATAGTTGAACAAACCTGCAATAACATTGTTTTGAAAAACTGCACCAGGTGTTTGCACAATCAAGTGAGAGCTAAACTTAGTATCAGTGCTAAAAATAAATAAATAAGTAAAAAAATGGGACAAACGAAAAGTAAAATAAACATATTAAATTACTGAAATGCAAACAAATTTATTTATTATTACGCCTTAAATACAGAAATTTTCATTTAACTTTCTTCAACCTTTCTAAATATATTTTTAAAATTGGTTAAATGTATTAAATTTGATAAAAATTCAGTTATTTCCGACACTTTCATTCATAGGCTGTTGAATTTGAGGAATTCATTCTTTCTCAATTTGGTAAACCAGTTTATTCAACAAGAAGAAAAGAAAACTGATTTTTTTTCTTCGTTTAAGAGTAGGATTCTTGAAAAGTTAAATCCTTTTCCAAGATAAAGTAAATTGTATTATATATTATGTTTTACAACTAAATAAATAAAACACAGAAAATGCAATTCAACCTTATAGCTTAACCCATTTAAACTTAAGCCACAGTTTAAAAATCGGGCCACAAAAATTGTTAGCATGTTCCATGTCAAAAAATATCAACAATTCTTAAAATTTTAAACACAGAAATCAGAGTTTGGTTTCTGTAGCAAGGGAATATTGATTTCTCATTTTTTTGATGTATAGTAAATTAAGAAAAAATAGCGGCAGAGGTTTCAAAAAGGCAACTTTGTCATTTACTATTAAATCTCATTGTGCCCCTGGAAAACTAGAAAAAAAAACTACATTTAACCCCCAAACATTGGAAACTTTGCACGAAAGTGAGCAGGCGATCTCAAATTTGTATAATGTCTATTATTATATATATATATCATATTTTAAACAGACACATCACCAAACTTTAAACAAAATGTATAGAAACGAATGATTACTAAGTCAAAGGTCATTGAGTACGCCTATCTACTATCAAGCAAGTTTTTTCCTAAATCTGGGCTCAAATTTTTTAGTGGTTCTTTGACTTTGTTACATTAAATGTTAAACCATCTGTTTCTATACATTTTGTTTTAAGTTTGGTAATGTATTTGTTTTAAATTTAATATATGTATAATATAGTATATATAATATCTTACATTAGACGCATACTAGAAATTCAAGTTTGCTTGTCTACTTTCACGTAACTTTTCCCCAAAATCTGGGCTCAAAATGGAGTTTTTCCCTCCAAGGTAGTGGGGAATGTGGCATTCAATGATTTTGTAACAATTTGTTTCTTTACGATTTGTTTTAAGTTTGGTAATGTATTTGTTTTAAAAATAATATAATATATACATAGAATAGTCCATACAATATATAACATTACACATGTATTAAAGTTCGAGATCGTCTGTCTACTTTCACGCATGGTTTCCACAAAATCTGGGCTCAAAATGCATTTTTTTTCCAAGTTTTTTGGGGGAGGTGGCACTTGATGACATTTAACATTTGATTTTAAACCTTTTTAAAATATTCAAGTCTCAATAAAATGTCCCTATTTAAATGTCTAAATTTAACACTGACAAACGTTTGGAAACACTTTTGGCGCACTGTTTATTTTAGGGGATTGGGCAGAAATTGATTTACATCATCTCAAATTCTGCCAAAATTATAAACAAATAATAATATCTTGTTTCGTAATATCTAAAAACTTAAGTTTATAAAAAATCTTCTACAATGTTTACATTTTTTTTTAAATTGATGAAAATACAGTCCTTGTCAAAAGTCTGAGCACACCTCTGGTTTTCCAGAAATTTCAGAATGCACAGAACCAATCCAAAATTAGGTTCATTGGTCTTGTTTTCAAAATAAATGACATTATTAATGTAAGGAAACAAAAAGACATAATTTGCCTTCATACAGAATAATTGATTCATCAAGAACCCTTTTACATAATAAGAGCTCCTTTTGAGGCATTTGTTAGACCAATTTACTAATTTAATATTACTATTTATATTACTGCACACTATAATTTTCAAAATTGAATAAAAACTTTAAAAATTTTATTGCTAACTGAAGAAAATCAACTTCATGAAAAATCTTCAATTCAATACAAAGAATTTTTATCATAAGCACTTTTTATTTCACACTTTCATATCTCTCCAGTATTTTTTCTATATTTATAAATCATGAATAATTTGTGAAAATTTAAAATTGATAAAAACTATTATCAAAACAACTGAATTTCTGTTAAATTAAATGATCTAACATTGTAAGATTATTTATACTTTACATTCTGTAATGTTTGAAATAATTTTATTCATAAAGTTATAGGTCATATATTTAAATTTACTCTTTATATTAGATCATTAAATTTAGCACAGTTTAAGAAGAGTAATTTAAGAAGAAGTAAGATATATTTCTAGTATTGAATAAGAAAATTTCCAAGATATCCAGATAATATATAAAATTGATATCAGGAAGAAACTCTTTAGATATCAATTTTATGTGCTGGATATCTGTGAAAGTTACGTATATCTGTCAAATGTCTCCGGGATATGTAGATGTCATAATATCCAAATATCCAATAGACATAACACAGTTACAACCCCTGGATAACTGACAGATATTTCATCGATATTAAGATATCCTGGAGATCCCTGATGGATTTGGGAATGTAAACCTTTTTTTGTATAAGAGATATCTCAGTGATATTTGTTGTTGTGTAAGTAGCAGCTCAAGTAAGTGTTTTTTTGTTTTTGTTTTTTTTAATAAGATCAGTGAGACTAAATTCTTCATAATATAGTTTTGGATTATCTGTTTGGAAATTTTTTGAAAAACATGGTAGTGTTCACTCGTTTGATAAGTATGGTATATTTCATAAAATAAAATTTAAAAAAATGAGTTTTACCTAGCGTCAAGCCATAAGAAGTTTGATTCCTGTAGATGTATACCATGAACATTCGACATTTCTGCAGTGACACACTAAAAAGCGAAGCTGATAATATAAAAAACTATTTAAATAAATACAATTTTCTTTGAAATGATCAGAAAAAAATATCTACTTAATATATTTGTTAATTAAATAGTATACCTGGATAAAAAGTTTTGTCATATCATTGCCATCTTTCGCTGGATTTAAAATTTTGTTAAATTCTAAATCAAAGTAAAGCTTACAAGGAAAATCTGAATGAAAAAAAATGGTTTTAGGGATCATATTTTTAAAAAATTGCATAGTTCATTACAATGAGCATTAAATTTTAGAAAATTTATCAATATATGTTAATAAGTGCATTAAATTAATGAAATAAAATATAAATATATTTTAATGTTATTAAAATTTTTATCAAAAATGTTTAGTAAAATTCATTCATATTGATACATAAACAATCATATACATAAATACATAACATGCTTAGCATTGACATTGATACATAAACATTGCTTAAACATTCATACTGATAAGTGGCATTTTATGAGAATTTTTACATTCAAGATTGTTAAAACTAATTTATAAAGTCAAAAATAAAACTCAAATGTTTAAAGTATAAAAAAAAAAAAAAAAATAAAAATCCATTATAACATTAAACTAAGAAAACTATTTAAATAACTTACTCTCTCTGATAACTTCATAAGTACATCGCTCATCAGATGGTCGAGACCTATTTCAAAGTTAGAAGTCTAATTACTTTAATGAAACAAGTACTTCAAAACTGAAGAATTTAAAAATCAAAACTTTTACATAATATATGATTAAAAGCATATACGACGATAACTAATATGGAAAATAAAGCCATGCATATAAAAAATATAGAACATGTAAGAAAACTTAAAGTGTGTGGGGAAGGGGCATCAGTAATTTAGGTAATCCTCGATTTTTTACAAGTACCCCATCAAATATATAAACTAAGAAAATATTTTTAAAAAAAAAAACACTTTCTTTTTATTTAGCACTACAATTTTATTAGAAAGTTGGGAATTAGTACTGAAGAGCCAAAAGCCACATGATAGCAGTATCTCAAAAAGCAGATGATGGTAGCATCATGTAAGGAAGGTATAATTAAACATTATATTCATCAGAACCTTAAGTACAGTAGTCTAGCAATTTGTGTGAAACAATAATTAAAGTAATCACATTGGTCTGTCAGAAGTTATCAGACTTTGAAAACAAAAGGACAGATCATGATAAATGGGATATCAGATATTGTTATAAAAATCAACATTCCTTAATCTTCAACAGTGTAAGTTAAACTCTTAAACATTTTCTATGCTGGGCCATCATTTTGAAAATCTATACAGTAATGCACAACAGAATAATAAGTTGTTTTTTTATTAAAACACGGTAATTATAACTTGGAGAGAAAATTACTGTTCGTTGTTTTCCAATATTATTTAAAATTCTTGATAAGAATATTTTATTAATATTAATTTATCTTAGTTTGACTTCTTTTAATTCTCAGTACTTTTTTATCCTCAATCAACTTTATCCTAAGTTAAATAGCCCCTTTTAAGCAAACCAAAGTATCTATAGTTTAACAAACATTGGCTTAATTTTCAGTATCTTTCCCTTTATCAACTTTTCCTTAAGCCAAGATAACATTTCATTGCAAATTAAAGTTAATTGATCCAAATTTCATTTGCTCCTTTTTTTTTTTTTTGCAAATAAAATTAATCTTTCTTCTTAGAAATTTTGCATTTATTTTATTGATAATTTTCATACATTGTTCTTGACATTATTTTGAATTTAAAGTGTAAAATTATTCTGAATTGCAATGTTATTTTAAAATCAATACTTGTTCAATTACTCGTATGGGCTTACAGACATAATTTTATAGTTTTCAATGGGTTGGATTTGAGCATACAATTTTTAAAATAATAGATAATTTAGCATGTTTTATTTGTTAACCCTGTGGCAGAATTTTTTCTGGCTTTCTGCGACAAACCTAACTAGAACCAATATCTTTCTGCAAGATATTTTTATCGTTATAAATGTATGTGTAATGAATTTATAATAATAGATGAAATTCGTGTTTATAAAATAAGTCTACATGCATAGAATAAAACTGTGTAGATTTTTTTTTCTTAATTTCATAATATAAGTTTACATTTCTTAATAAGTTTAAATTGTTTAAGTATAAATTTGCATAATCTTCGATAATAACGAAAAGTTATAAATGTATAGATCTGCAGACAAAAATGCTTACTAGTAAAGATTACCCAGAACCTGTAATAAGACAGAACTTATAGAAATAGCTAAGAATGGACAAAAAGATTAAATTTATAAAACAAGATAACTGAATTTGAAGTATCAGTTTAAAACAGTATGATTTAATGTTTCACTATAGTAGTTATATCAGGTACAGAAACAAATCAGGTGAAAAAATTAATATTGAAGTTGAGTAATCAAAATAATAAAATAGTATTGACTATAACCGAATTCTAAAAGCAAAAAAATTAAAGCAATGTTTGTTTCAATTTTTTCTACATCTAATTAATTTTATCTAATTAATTAGATGCGATTAATATTGTACTGACTTATTGAAAGATTTTTTTTTNAGAAAGTTCTGTGAAGAGGTAAATTCTATCTCTGAAGGAGCTAGACTCCAGAGAATCCTTAGAAGGGATGAACCCATAATGGTTGGCACCTTAAAGGATGAGGATGGCAACTTTGCTACCACTGGAAAAGAGATAATGGAAGTTATGGCCAAAACTCACTTTCCAGGAGCCATTGATATGGATAGCAATGAAGGACAGCATTTCATTGGATCTGTAAAAAGAATACAAAGAAATCAATGGACCTATGCTAAGAACGTTATCAATCAAAACAATGTCAGGTGGGCTATCTCCACCTTCAAACCACTTAAAAGCCCTGGACCTGATGGAATCATTCCTGTAATGATCCAAAAGGCAGGAGATCCTATCATCCCTGTGTTAACCAGAATTTACAGAGCCAGTCTGGCACTGGGACATATTCCAAAGCTATGGCAAAAGACCAGGATTGTTTACATTCCTAAACCTGGCAAAAGTAACTATGACCAGGCTAAGTCTTTCAGACCAATTAGCTTATCTTCATTCTTTCTCAAAATTATGGAGAAAATTATTGATAGGCATATTAGGGATTACCTGGGTAGCAATAACCCCTTGCATAATCTACAGTTTGCCTACCAACCTGGTAAATCTACAGAGACAGCCTTACACAAGCTAGTATCTAAGATTGAAGACACCCTGGAGAGAAAGGAAATTGCATTGGCCACCTTCCTAGATATTCAGGGTGCTTTTGATAATACCTCTCACCCATCCATCCTTAATGCCTTAAGGGAAACAGGGATAGACCAAACTTTATGTTTATGGATTAAGTCCCTACTTATGGATAGAGCCATTCAAATGAATATCTTCAACGAGACATTAGAAAAGAAAACAACCAGAGGCTGTCCACAAGGAGGTGTACTATCACCATTACTTTGGAATCTGGTTGTAAATAGCCTAATCAAACATCTAAATAATACAGGCTACTATACCCAGGGATATGCGGATGACATTGTCATACTCATCCTTGGCAAAGATTTTCACATAACTTGCCAACTTATGCAAAACGCTCTAAGTTATGTAAGCAAATGGTGCAGGGAGAGGAATCTGGACATAAATCCACAGAAGACCAATCTAGTACCATTCACTCGTAAAATAAAAAGGGAAGGCTTTTTTATCCCAAAACTTTTTAACGTTGAAATCAATATTGCCTCTGAGGTGAAATTTTTAGGCTTAATTCTTGACCAAAAACTCACCTGGAATAAACATGTTGATTACAAAATCAATCAAGCAAAAAAATGCATAATGATGTGCAGACGCATGCTTGGTAAAAACTGGGGATTACAACCAAAAATGATGTTTTGGATGTACACAGCAATTGTCAGGCCTGCTTTCACATATGCTTCAGTGATATGGTGGTGTAAAGTGGAACAGAAAACTGTGAAGGATAAGCTGGGAAGTCTGCAAAGACTGGCCTGCTTGTGTATCACAGGTGCAATGTCCACGGCCCCTACCAGAGCACTTGAGGCAATTCTGGACCTGACTCCTTTAGATATCTTCATGTGCAGCTCTGCCAGAATGACTGCATATAGAATGAAATTGCAATATCAATGGTATGACAAGCCCTCTTCTGGAGGTCATACCAGTATTACTAAGAAAATTTACCATCCAACTCTCCTTATGCCTTCTGACTGCATGGAGAGAAAGTACGTGTTTGAAAGACCATTTGAAGTAGTTTTTCCTACCAGAGAAGAATGGGATAACAACACGATCGATACAAAAAATGATGATCTAATCTGGTATACCGATGGATCAAAGAAAGGTAACCTCTCAGGACTGGGTGTCTGTGGCTTGTCACCAAGATTCAACCTTTTTGAAGGTCTTGGGGAGTATGCTACTGTCTTTCAGGCGGAGGTACTTGCTATTGTAAACTGTCTGCAGATAAATATTAAGAAAGGCTACCATGGTAAGCGGATTCTTATTTTCAGCGACAGTCAAGCAGCCTTGATGGCTCTTTACTCATTTCAAGTAAAATCAAAAATTGTTCTGGAATGCAAGAATCTCCTAATAGAACTGGCAAAAAGGAATAAAATCATTCTTATTTGGGTACCAGGGCATATGGGAATTGATGGTAATGAAAGAGCTGATGAACTCGCAAAACAGGGATCCTCTTTCAATCCAATAGGAACGGAACCCTTCTGTGGAATCAATATGAAGACTACAAAGAAGGCTGTCCTAAAATGGGAAAAACAGGAGATGAACAAAGTTTGGCGCAATTCTCCTGGACAAAAACATGCTAAAAGCATGATCAGCAGCCCTTCTGCAAAAATTGCTTCTGAAATTCTTAGGCTCCCAAGATTGAAGATTCAAACAATTGTAGGCTTCATCACTGGGCATTATCATTTCAGGAAACATCTACATAGATTGGGACTTTTCGAACAAGAACCAATATGTCGGAAATGCCGTGAAGAGGTAGAATCAGCACATCACATCCTATACGAATGTGATGCCCTCGCCCTTACGCGCCTCACTACCTTAGGCAATCCATATCCTAAAGAGCTTCACCTTAATTCCATTAAGGGACTGTCAGACTATATTAATAAAGTAGGCGACCCGAGACAATGGAACTAGGAAAAATTGGGCTTGGAGTATGGTACAAAATGCAACATGTGCAGAGGTGCCACATATCTGACAAGCTCAAGCAAGAAGAAGAAGAAGATGGGTTTATAGACATAATTTTATTGTTTTCAATGGGTTGGAACTGTAAATACAATTTTTAAAATAATAGATAATTCAGTTTGCTTTATTTGTAAAATGGTTGATTTAGGAATAAAATATATAAAAGATGAATTATGAAATAACTATAAAAAAGCAATTAATAAATTAACAATTCTGAAATTTTTTTTCCAAAGAATAACTTACTTATAATTTAACCACAAATGATATGGATGAGTAACAAGAAATAATCTCTGACCAGTATGATCTGCATTACGTTCTTCAAAAGAAAAAATCATACAATCCTGTAACAACAAATAAAATATTTAAACATTTTTTTTTCAATTAAATTTTAAATTATTTCAGTTTGATAACATCAAACTGCTTTCAAGTAATTCATAATACAAGGCGCAAGGAATGAATATTATTATTCCTTAAATTTTTATTTTAAAATGTATATTTTTCCAGTCTGTTGATATTCTCTTTTTTAATATAAAAATTAATTTAAAAAAATGAAAACAATACCATGAATTAGGTTACTTTGCCAACAAAGCAAAGATGATTTAGACTGGTCACAAATTTTGAGTTGAGCTTTCCTTTGAAACCTTTACCCATTTTCTAAAAACAAAAGTTTGGATGGCAAAGAACAGTTTATTCATTGGCTTTACCAGGGCTCACAACACATTGTGGTAAAAAAAAGGTTAGATTAACCAGTAAAGCCATTTGTCTCTAAAAATAGAACTTGAGGAAAACCAATTTTTGTTATTAGGCAACTTATATTTATGAACCACAGTAAGTGATATAGTCAGTCTTTCTTTTCCATAAAAATATTAAAAAATCAGTTAAACACAATTTATATAAAAACAGAACCCTATTAACAACAAAATTTTATTATAAATTTTATTAATATTTAATTTATTTCTTAAATTAATATTTTACTTTAAAAGTACAAGTATCATGGTTTGTCTTTTTTAAGTTGGAATTTTCAAAACCAAAACAAGTCTGGAATGTCAAAAAAATAAGATAGCATGATTTCATAAAATTATTCTAATTACCGAAATTCAGCTTGTTTTGTGTTACAATGGTAAAAAAAATAGGAAATTATGGGTAAGAATAAAAAATTAACTGATCATAAGAATGAATAAACTAATCATAAAATGAATGAAAATTAATTTATTCAACTAATAGTAATAAAAAAATTACTTTTGTGCCAGAATCAGCAAAAGAAGCAGCCAAACTTAAACGTTTAAAAACTTTCCATGAAGTAGATGGCCCCTCTAATCTACAAAATGCAAAAATTTATGATTTTACCAAAATAACACTAAAAAGAATGTAGTAATAAAAATAATCTAACGATATGTTAAAATAAAAATACAGAGTGATACTAAAAAAAATTTCACCTAGATTTAAAGACTGATGGAATGGGTTTAGATTGCAATTCCCTATGAATCTTTCGCAAATGTAAAATGGATTCACTCCAGTTCCTAAAGGATTAAAAATAAAGCCTGTAAGTTTATTTTATATGGATAACTATTGCTCGGCCAGACATGTAAATAATATCATAAAATGTCACTTAAGAGACTTTACTGTTTTTAAAACTTAGATAAATTTACCTAAACTAGTAACATCATAAGTTAAATGATGATGCAAAATTATTAAGCTTACAAGACCTAAGTAATTATATTGCCTGAATGTTCAGAACACATATCAGACATTCACTTGCTTATAGTGCTTAATAATATTGATTATACCACTTCATTGTTATAAGAATTCTCTGCATTTACACCATCAATGTTTATTCTAGCTTAAAATACTTCTTTGTCAATAACATTTTGATGGATAGATTAATAATAGGTACAATTATAAGTTTTATTAATATGCATTCAAAAGTTTTATTTAGGTATTATCCTATAGACTAACATGCCCAGCAGGCCATGTAAAAAATAATAGAGATTTTTTGAACCCAAGATGTTTACACAAGTTAGGCAAGCACAGATAATTAGAAGTACTGTACATACTTTTGATTATACGTTCATAAATGAGGAGTTCTGTAAATTATACAGTCCTTCCTTACTTTCAAAGGAGCACCTTAGAAATTAAAAAATTTAATGCAGAACACTAAATTTTATCTTGCAGCTATAACCTTTATTTAGCTAAAGTTAATTGAATGCCAAATAGCATTAACAATGAAAGGTTGTTTGGCTCTAAGCATGAAGAGAAATAGATTTCACTGATTATATAAAATTCACACTGCGAATCATATCCATGCAATTAAAATAAATAAATAATGTACTCGGATCAATACTTTTAATAAAACATTGATAATATTCTGTGGATAAATGCTTCCTACATCTACATATATTTTTTTTCTTGCTCAAATTTCAGATATGTTTTCAATTATTTAAAAAGTGTTTTTGTAAATAACATTTTTGGATTTCTATTTTCAGCTTCTTTTTCTGGTAATTTTCCAAACTCATCCCTTCATTATGAATTAATATAGAGTTTGATAAAAATTAAACATTTTCCAAAAAATTGCACCAAAATGAGGTGGCGACGAAAGGACTGAAACTAGTTACAAGAGTAAATCAATGCATGCAGAAAGTTTTTTAATTGAAATTTTCTGTTTGCAGAAAGTTTTTTATTTTATCTAAGTGTGCTTCACCGTAAAAGAGCAAAAACTCATAAAATATAAAAAAAATTTCCCACTTTTTTTTAAAATTTAAAACATGTCCTTAGATTTTTACATAGCACTGGGAAATGTTTTAGAGAGCACAGTTAGAAAATCTATCTAGAGATATGATGTAGTTACCTATAATTATAAACCTTCCACAAACTAGGCAAATCAAAAAATTTACACATATTTATAAAGATCAGTTTTCACTCATTTAGATTTAGAAATAACAAACATTTTGATTTAAAAAAAAATCTGAATTCCTTTCACTCAATATGAGCAGTGGTGCAAGTGGCAAAACATGGTTTTGGAGCATCTTTGGAGCAACAAAACGAAAATTCCATAAGCAATTCCACAAAAAATGTAAAATTTCACTGAAAAATATTGTTTTCTGCAACAATGCAGAGTTATAAATTCAATATGGTTACCGTCTAGAGGCATGAAGTGTAGGTCCATAAAACTGTTTTGCTATGAAATCATCAGTCACATCTAAAGGGTAAAAGAATATATGCTCTTAAAAAAAGATTTATATCACAGAAGAAACAATAATGAACTAAGACAATGAAAAAGAGAAATATAGATATTAAACATGTAAATTCAAGTAATTTTATGAAGTCTACTGTAACATATAATGTACTATATTTCTTACACCCGCACAGCTTAATAGGGAAATTTCTGTATCATGATTTGTAGCTCCAACTACAACCACTAAGACACCAAGTGGATTTTAAACCAACAAATTTCTTTAAAGAAGTACACAGAGGTTTGCTGGGGATTTTTTTCTCTTTAGTTCCTCAAGGAGCCACTGCCCAGAAGTTGCCAAGGCTTGGCAATTATTCTGCAGCAAATTACGATGCAGAAATCTACCCTGCATTAATTTCAATTTATAGGTAAATGCAGTGAAACTGCACATTAAGCATTACTTAAGTAGAACATTAAATTAGTAATTTATACTGACTTATTTGTTAGCGGTTTTAAGCTGGGCCCTTTACTTGGAGCTTTTACAATGTATGAAATCTTCAATTTTCTTATTAATTTTATCGCAATTTCTTATATATTAGAAAATCCCACTTGTAATTCAATTTTCTGTTTTCAGTAAGAACATAAAATAGTGACAAAATAAGAGGGGCACATTATTGCAAACTTTTACCATAGAATGAACTAATTTAAATGAAAATCAAATTTTTTTTGTGAAACATCGTAAGTAACTAAACATAAATTCATTTTATTTACACATATAATCTTTAAATATCTTCAGTTTATTCTTACTTGAGTCATCGAAATGCTCCATTAATACGATTGAAAATAAAGTATAAAATCACGTTTAAAGAGTGTAATAAAATATATGATAAATAAAAAAGAAGAATATCTCCCGCTAAGATTTAAATTTTTGAATTGCAGAATTAGAGAGCAATAACAAACAAAAATGACGAAATGTTAACCCTACACGCTACAAACGCAGTTAACTTTAATGATACCTATTTTCCGAAATAGTTTTGTAGAATTTTTTAAGTTGAACGTTTGTTTTTAGAGTTCAGTGCAAACAGTTTTTCAAGTGGTAGTTCTAAAATACTTTATTTATCAGTAATAAACCGATAAAAGTGAAGTTAATAGGTTTTTGCAGTTGTTAATCGTCATTCTTTTAAATTCTAAATACCGCAGATGTTTTGATTCTTTTTCTTTCTTTTTTGACGGACAACATTTGTATATTATTGTAATTTAATTTATATTGTAGAAAGTTTTTGTTAAGTATTTATGTAGCAGGAAACGTCCAGATATTAGTGTTTATTAGATGTACAACACTTCCTATTTACCAAAATGTTATCTCTTCAATATTGCTAATTAAAAAGTATTTTTTGTCAGCTTGTTAAAAGTTAGCGCGTAATCTAATTATCAGTAGCCACTGATAGAACTACGCGTAAATTGAGCCGCTAAACGAAGTAGATAAAACTTACCCCCATGTGTTTTTAGCGTGTAGAATATATTCAATATGGCTCGATTACGTTTATGGATTATTTTCTGTTTGTGTTTCATTTTTAAATTATCTCAAGGAAATGATGAGGAAGAAACACCGGAAGAAGAAATGTATGGTGTTAAATATGCAAAAAATTGTGAAGGTAAATTTGTATGCTGTTAATCAGTAGGTAAAATATAATTAATTGATAAAATAATTAAAAGTCCGCAAATTAAGAAGTAGATAAAATATCTGCAAGCGTTGATAATTTATATAATATTCAATATGGTATAGGATCTATTCAATATTGTTTGATTGCACGTATTGATAATTTTATTTATGAGTTTTCCATTAATTTTTAAATTATCTCTTGGAAATAATTTGGAAAAATCAAAAGAAATGTGCGGTATTAATTTTGCTAAAAATTATAAAGTTAAATTTGTATGCTGTTAATTGAATACAATAATTAAAAGCAGATAGGAGGTATGAACAAATTAATTAATCAGGGTTCAATATAGACCTTACAAAGGACAAGGCGTTAGAAACTGAAAAGGACACCTATCACCAAAAGGACATTATTCTCTTAATATTTTCTTGGCTTTAGGATACAAATAATATACAAAGTTCTAAATTTTGTCTAGCCATGGAATCGTCAAGAATTTAACTCTTCTTAATATTGCATTAAAAGCCATGTAAAAAGAATTTAAAAAATTATTAATAACTTAAGAAAAAAATAGCTATCAAACAATATGTAGTTACCATGGAATCGTGTTGAAACAAAAGCTTCAGGAAAGTTATAGATGAAGCTCAAAATATGCATGCATCATATTGACAGATTAATTATATCTTAATTTACAAAACTGTCAAGCAATATGTAATTAAATCGTGTTGAAATAAATGCTTCAAGAAAGTGATAGATGAAGTTCAAAATACGCATATCATAATGACATATTAACTATATCGGAATTTACGAAACTATCAAACAATATGTAATTACCATGGAATCGTTTTAGAACAATTGCTTCAAGAAAGTAATAGATGAATTTCAAAATATGCATATCATAATGACATATTAATTATGTTTTGAAACTAAAGGGGAAATGATTGAAAAAAAATTATTGCCTTGAAAATAATCAGAAAATCATAAAGATTTAGAAAAAAATAGCGCTAATGTTTTTTTTTTAACTCGTTATATATATAAATATATTGGGGCGGTTAATTGCTTTCAAAGGGCATGTAGGGTGGAAATATTTCATTTAAGTGACTCTCCTGAAATGAACCCTGATTTCTGAGAAGTTTTTATTCATATTAAAATAAAATGTTTTGACCTATATGCTGTAAGATTTTATTTGAAACTCATTAATAAATTCATTCATTTTTTAAAAATTTTTATTAGTTCTTATGTACCTTCAAAAATCTAAAGCCAATTTATTTAAAATATGTAAAAATATTTGCTAAATTAAATTCAGCATTTGTCAAATACCGAATTTCATAATTTGGCGAATTCAGCATTTATCTATGCTTACTAACATATGGCTGGATTCAGGATTATGCTTGGTAGAAGTGTAGAAAAAATGAGCTAATGTAATGGTATCAAATTAATGTTTTTAGTGAGTTCTCAACCATTTTACGAAACTTATTTATAGCAATAAAAGGAACCAAAATTCATTATCTCTTAGCCTTTGAAGATAATGCAATGTTTATTTTTCATAGGTTTTGATTATCTTAAGGAAGATATATGTCCTGATCTGCTGCAGAATGGGAGCAGCTTCAGTACAGAGATCTAATTATTTCCCAATAAGGATTTGCCTTTGCAAAAAGTCCTAGGCACAAAACATTATAAATTGACACATATCTTGAAATAAATCACACTCCTAGAAATCAATTCAAATTCCGCAGAACCATCTACAAATTTGCAATATAATATAAAAAAAATTAACATTTCGATTAGCCGGACGCTAGCGAAAAATCAACCAAAAAATTTAGACTACCGTAAATGTTTTACTATTTTTTTTATTTTATTTCTTTGAAACACTAAGCAAAATAAATGTTTGTGAAAAAAATATTGAATAAACTGAAGTAAAAAAAATAATAGTTGAATTTTTTTCGCACTTGTCAAACCAAAAAATATCATAAAAAATATGAGGCCAATAATTTTATTTTGTGTTTGTATTATTAAAAAACAGACTTAATATTTTCTTGTGAAATATCTATAATTACTTTATAAATACCTTTGTATTATATTATTATTAATTTTGTAAATATAACTTAACTTTTAACACGGCTCTAGTTCAAGATAAACTTTTATAACTGTTTAACTTAATACAAGTAAATAAACTAGACATCTTTATGATTTATAAATAGATCAACATATACTGATATGAAAATATTTTCCAACACTTGTTGAATTTTACTTTTTCCGTTATAAATGTATTTATATATTTTTTTTAGTTTGCAAATATTTAGTATTGGAATTGGAAAATAGGCTTTCTGAAACTGGCAAAACGCATGAAGTAATTGAAATGGGATATGAATTGGACCCTGCTGCAAGAAAAAAGAAAAAATATACCGTATCGTAAGTTATGAATGATCACATAATGCTAATCTGAAGGGCACCATTTTTGAATAACATACACATGGCAAAATATTTTGATTCATTATAATAGCAATGGTCTAAGAATAATTTCTCCTGAAGAATTTATTTTTATTATTAATTTAGGCGTGTCAAAATATCACATTACTTCTAAAAAAAAGTAACTGTAATTTCTTGAAGAAACGCCTCCTTGGTATATACGCCGCACCCTCAACGATCGGCCCAAAAAATTTTACTTTGATTTACTATACTAACCCAGGTATTGATTACAGACTCAACACATGTTCTAAATATGCATATATATAATTTAAATAGCTTTTTGAAAATCAATAAAAGGATATTGAATATACAAAAAAAGAGAAACAATCCTATTGTATAAAATGGATTTCAATAACTTTTTAAGTTTATTTTCTAATTTTAATTTGAAGTATCCATTAAAATATGAATCAAATAATTAATGTAACAAAAATCATTAAAATTGCTAAAAATAAAACAATCTTACTTTTAAATCACCATTAAATGGTAAATCCAAGCAAATTTAGTTTACAGAAAAACTAACGAATAATTCATTCAGATATCACATATACATGCATCGCTTGAAAACCTACAAAATCAGAGCTCTTCGTATAGGAGCAAAATAAGTTTATCTGTTCATTGTTTATTTCGGGTTTATCCCTGTCACTAACACTTTCAGCATCACTTTCGGTTTCACTTTTTCCTGGGATCCCAACCTTTTGGAAATGCCAGCATGGCAAGCAATCACTTGTGCAACTGCTCTAAATTCAAAATGTGCCTGTATACTACTCTATGATTCAGTGATTAACGGCTAGATAAATTAAAATGTTGAATTATCTAAAAAAATTTCCTTTTAAGTGTTTTTAAATTACCATATGTTGTTTATGTTAATTGTATTGCCTTAATTATATAATAAGAGTAATTATTTCAATTTAAAGTAACTTATTAAAATTGAAAACTGCTTCTTATACTATTGATAAATGATTAGTAATGTTTATTTTGTAATATTTTTTGTTTGTTTTTCAACGCCTTAATAATTTTATAATGTGGCATAAGAAAAACTGAATTTATATTTTTAAATTTCTTTTTGGCACAGTTAAAATTAAGCAGTTAATTATAATATTAGCATCTTTGTAAAATATATGCATGGTACTTAATTAAATATTATTTTGCAGCTAAGTTTTTATTGAATCGGGGTAATGTATTTTTACATACACTTACGACATTTTCCATTTTTTATAGAGAACTACGTCTTGTGGAATCATTAGAAGGTATTTGTGATAGATTACTTGACTACAATATTCACAAGGAACGGAAAGATAGTACGAGATTTGCAAAAGGCATGAGCACTACATTTAAAGTTCTTCACGACTTAGTGTGCGTATAAATATTGTATTTTATTCTTTTTTTAAATGTTTTGTTTCTTAGTGTGGTTTTTATCTAGTGGCACCCTTGTCGTCCTTTACCTGTAATAAATCTTTATTTTTTTCCCTATTTAGTTGCACATTTATATTATAACTATATTTAATTTCATATTTATAATCATTAAAAAAATAATTTAACAATCTATGTTTGAGATGTTTAGAAGTAAAGTACCATACTTATTTATAATGAATTGCATAGGAATCAATTTAAAAAATAAGAATTGCAGTGAAGTGAGCCAATAAACAAAATTGTTTCTTGTAGTTAATATTTTCTTTGCACTTTAATTAAGAACATGTTTGCTTCCTATTTCTTGCAGCTAATAAAAAGAAAATATGCATTAATCAGTAGTAAAAAAAATAGTCAGAAAAAATAAAAAATTAAAAAAACACACTATAAGCAGCCAAATATCTTTATTCAGCAAATCAGTTGAAAGTTTATTGCAACAGCAATTAATAGTGTGCATACAACAGCATTGTTAACACAGCGTATACATGCTAACTGTTTGCATGTTATAATTTGCATAACCCTACAACTAACCAGGGTTGGCAAGTTTTTGACACATGGCAGTTTTTCCCGGTTTGTACCATGGTTTTTACCGTCATGTCAGAAACCCATAGTTTTGATAAAACTGTATTTTAATTTGAGTTTAACTGCTTATGATTTTTTAATTTTTGGACAATAAAATTAGAAAAAAGTTGTTAAAAGATATTTAAGAACAGATTTTTGCATTTTCCCAACATGATTATATCAAATCATACTATTTGAAGTAAAATATTAGGATACTAAACAAAATTTTTAACATTTCCAAGCATAATTTTGTTTGGCATATTACATTACTGAGAGTTTGTTAGTAGTTACAAGTTTTGTTTAGCTTATTTCTAATATTTAAGAAATGCCAAATTTTAAATTCTTCTTTTTAGTTCTTGAATTTATTAATAGTTCCAAGTTTTTTTGTTTGTTTGTTTATTTCTAACAATTAAGATGTGCAAAATTTTGAAACCTTTTCAAATCAAGCTATAATGATAAAAGTTAAGTATCACTATTTTCAATAAGTATGTTACAATATTTCTGTATGAATGTATATCCTTCTATAAGAATACATGTATATAGTTGCAAAATCAATAGCAATCATTTACAACATTCATTTATAAAGGCAATTAAGTGAAAATAATATATTGTCCGCTATATGCCATAAATTAAAGAAAACAGTAGGCTTTTGACGGTTTTTGCCGGTAAAAACACGGTTTTTACCACTGTCATGTCAAAAACCAGTTTTTGATGGCAAAAACCCAACCCTGCAACTAACCCTAAGTATAGTTTTGAAATATAAGATTTTACTTAGAACAGGGTTGGCAATTTGTCTGGAAGAAACTGGACAAAATTGAAGAAACTAAAATTGACCGATACAAATGTTTTACGAAAGTTTATTAATGAATAATTGAAATTTAAAACGAATAAATTTGTGAAAGGTAAAAAATTTACATTTAACTATTTTTAAAAATAACTATTTTTATAAAAAATTTTCTTTTAATATTTTTTAAAAATAACTATTTATGAAAATTGTATTTTTTACTTTTTTTAAAATTAATTAAATTATTTAAATTTTATTCAGAATTTTAAAATGTACCTAATTTATTAATATAATTATTTTGATTTATGTTATCCGTATTTCCTGAAATAAATATGTGCACTTATATCTAGATAAGTAGGTCTAGATAAATTATTTGTAATTGTATTATTTAATATTTGAAAATTTAATTTCCTGTTTAATATTTTTTAGTAAAGAAAATTTTTCTGCATTGGTTGGAAAAAACCCATTTTTCAGAGTGTGGCTTTTTCAATGTTTTTTTACTCTGTAGAAAAAAACTTGTCATCCCTGCCTGAAAAATTCATTAAATTGAACCTAATTAAAAAATTATTAGATGTTTTGTTGATAAATATAGAAGTTGGTGAATAGTGATCTAAAAATTTTTAATATATTCTGCTTTACTATATTTCATTTTTATAAAATCTGAATAAAATTTCAGTAAAAGCTCAACTATCTGGAACTTGAAGGAAAAGGCACATTTCAGATATAGGATAATTCCTTATATTTGGGCACCGCAAACTCATTTTTGCTGTAACCTTATTTTTTTAGAAAAAATGCTTTGCAGAGCAAGAAAAATCCCAATCAACACTTATAAAAAAAAAAATAACAATAAAGAAAAAGAAAACTATTATAAATAGTTTGCTACCGAAGTTATTTAAGTTATCTATAAAAAAAATTTACTTGCAAAATGGAAACAAAGCACAAGTAAGAAACGGAAAAAAATTGTACAATTTGTATTTATTATTTAATATTGAAATGTTTGCCATGTTGTAATATTTACTTGCACTATAGTAAAAACATCAATCAAAACAAAATTATATTAGAATTGCTGCTAGCAGAAAAATAATGAAGTTAACATGAAAATGAATTAATATATTATTATAGCTGAAAAATAAGAATTTAAAGAAATAAAAATTTCAGAAATTTGCAAAATTTTAGTTATTTAATCTTTTTGGTTTGTCAAATTCAGGATAGCATGGCTTTTAATGTTTCTACAATTGCAAAAGTTATAAAAGCCAAAATCTGTGAAACCAAATTTAATTTATAAATAAAGTGAAGGCTGTTATTTTGAAATCTTTAATTTGGCAAAGAGAAGTTTTTGTAAAAAAAATTTTTCAACTTAGCTCCTAAATTGTATTTCTTTTACTTTAAAAATTTGTAAGCAAAATCATGGTAATCAATGTGAATTATTCTTTTCACAACATAAATAATTTTTTTTAGCTTCCAATTTAATGTAAAAATCTTTTTCATTATTTTTTTATTTTTAGGTTTTTATAGATAATGAAATTTAGGAAAATATTAACAGTTGAAAGTTTCAGCAATTTCATCCACAATCATTTCTAGAGTGCTATTTGAATGTACATTTAATACTAAAATGTTATAATTCAATTTTATCCCATCCATCATTAATTCCATCATCCTTCCATTTTTATCCCATCCATTTTCATCCTATTCATTGTTTAGAAAGAAATAAAAAAGAGGTATATTACTCTGTAACACTGAATTTGGTATTGCCCTTCCAGAGAAAGTTGCAACCATTAAGTATGTAACTATAATAATTAAAAAAAATTCTAATCAGTTTTTAACTTGTTTCATTGTTTTCTTTAGTAATTATATCTCATTTCCTTATTATTCATGATTTTATCACTAATAATGATAAAAATGTTATTCTTTCTATTTTTTTATAAGAGAAAGCAAATATATTTTTTTAAATTTGTTTATTAATGGTTTATAATTTCTTGATTATATTTTAATTTTAATCATTTACCATGCTTAAATTTTATTAAGTATGTTTCTTTAAGCAAAACATTTCATCAACCGTATATACTTATCATTGTTTTCAATATTAATGCTTATAGATTTTTGCAAAGTGTTTATATCAAATCTGAATATCCTTAAAATTCTTTTTAAACATTCAAGTTTCTAATTATGTTTTTATTTAATGGAGAATAGCGTATACTGTTTCGACCAAAAATATTGGAAAATTATTAAAATTTCCCTCACAAGAGTTATTTAAATCTTTGAGTAAAAAAAATATCTTTGTTTAAAAAAAATCTTTTTTAATTATTCCTATTCTGTGAGTGACACTTGTTATTTTCTAATTTTTTTATTCTTTATAATGTATTAGTGATAAAGGTGTGAAGGTTGAGCTAGGAATACCCGAAGAATTATGGGACAAACCTTCGGCTGAAGTAACAAATTTGAAAATGCAGGTAATTTTTATAACAATTTTACAAAATTATTCTTTGTACTTCATGTATCTAGAATAATTATTATGAAAAATATTATTAACATATCACAACATCAGCTTTTTTTCTTCTTTTTTGTTTGCTGCTAGGAAAGAAAAGTTGAACTAATTTTTGCAACACAAATTTTTCAATATTGATTTTTTTAGTTGCTGTAACTACTTACTTTGTTATGTTGTTTGCTGCTTTATTAATTTTAGTTACTCCGCTTATACTAATGTTAATAGTATTAGAATGTATAAGTTTTTTTTTTATATTTAATGATTGATGTTTAATGATATTTAATGATAATTAAATTATTTTTACAAATTAAATCTTTCTACTAACTCATGTTATTTTAAATATTTTTAACTGAAAATTTGATTACATCAGCTTTTTTCTCTCCTTATTTCAGCTTTAAAAAATAAAAATATCTGAAAAATGACATTAATGCATGGCGTTAAATGGCATTAATAGATTTTAATTATAGTATATAGTTAATTATAGTAATGGCATTAATAGATTTTAATATTCAGGAGTGATTGTTTTCCGGGTACCCCCTTGAAGTCATCATTCTTTTTTTTTTTTTAGGTTTTAAAATTGAGTGCACAGCATTAATGTATTTTCATATACTCCTGAGACCGTTGAATATGGAACCTTGCGAATTAAAAACTTATATTCCGACAAAATGGTCATGGAGTTTCACTATCCGCAAATTCTGAATTTCGAATTAGATATTTAAGTAATCACTTTTAACGCTCTTGCATCACTTTTGCATCTTGAATCACTTTTAACTCTAAGAAAATTTTCTTTTCAAATCCATGTGGCGTTCTAATTGCTCTTTCAATTATTGTTTTTGATTTTCACAAAGATTTGAATAACTCAATATTTTTTAAGCAATATTGTTCTGACATGCAAAATTCAAATCAAGCATTTTGAGAATCACTTTTTGTTGTGCTGGATTCCATCATAAATCCATGTGGAGTTATAAGAAAATAGAATAGAAAAAAAATTATTAATCCTGTAGCTTTAATATAATTTTTTTTTACTTTAAAAATTGCTTAAATATTATAACTATTATCTATAAATTAACTTGGTGTCATTTGTAATAGCTTTTTATTCCTGTAGTTGAATCTTGTAAGAACTAATAGTTTTAAGTTTTTTCTTAAATTAGTTAGTATAAAGATGTGATATATTTATCATTGGTAGGTATTTAAAATACCAATCTTAGTTCAAAGAATTATGTTAAATGTGTAGTTAGTAAAACTATTTGTGTATTATTTTTGGTGTATAAATTAATATCTTGATATTAATTTTTACAATAAATTTTTGCTTATAAAATTTTTAGGGGTTTTGACTTAGTATCAAAATTATCCCTGAATATCACATCACTCAAAGCATTTCATATAGTGCCCTTTTTGGGTAAACTGTGCATTATATCATCGTTATTTCTTGAAAAAATAAGTTAAATGCATGTAACCTCTTTTTAAACTAATTTTTCTTTTCCTAAAAATCTTTACTGAATTTTATATTAGAGTTTCTTAAATCATTTGTTACGGTAAATGTATGCCTACTCTCATAATTTTTTCAGGATATTCTCTATTTTTATTTTAATAACTAATAAAATATTACTTTATATTCTGAGATGGAAAAAATGGTTTTTGCATAAAAATATTCTGGTATTGCCTTGTTTTTTATAATAACAATGTCTTTAGATTCTTTTCCTCAAGAGGTTCATTTATATGAAACTGAATTTTCAAGTTCAGTAAGTGGTACTTGTGGTATTGCTATATTGTCGACATGATAATAATGCATTCATTTCATAAGGACATACATTATAAGTAACTAAATAGATTAAAACTAAATACATTTTTAGATTTGTAATTTCGTTTTTCATGTCTAGTTTAAATTTTTATCTAATTTCTGAAAGGGAAAGAGTAATGCAAAAATAAATAAATGAATGAATTACATATGTATCTTTATATGTTAGTATCCTTAATCCTTGCACATTAATTTTTAAAGTGTTTAATTTAATGACTAATTAATATATTTCTACAAATATATTAATTAGTCATTAAGATACTGCTTTTTAGACCCACTGGAATTAGAAAGCAGGGATGGCCGCGGTTGAGAAGGGCTGACTCAGTGGAGTCTGATTTTCTCGCAATTAATGAAAATAATTGGAGATGTAAGATAAATCGGAAATCTTCAGAGGAAGGCATTTGCTCACATTGGGCTGTCTAGCCAACTATGATGATGATGATGAATTAATATATTTTCCAAATACTGTGACCTCTCCTTTCTATGCTCTTTTTTTTAATTCACGTTGGAACATCATGCATTATCATTTATCACTCACAAAGGTTAATGATTTGTAGTATTTTTGTATATGAAATACCCGGTAGGAGAATTTATGAAATAAATCTGCAGCACTATCTTCATAAATTTCAAATTCCTCTGATTTTACCGTAAAGCAATTAGACAGAGATTATTGTTGTATAAATTCAACTTATTCTAATTTATATTGAGTACAATTTGCAAATATAAGGTCCTTTGGAATCATAATAATTGAGGTAGTGGTCAACTATCATTAATGAATGGTGCACAAACTCTGATTAAACAACCCCTAAAATTATGAATAATTCAAATTTCTCTTCTATAAAAAAGTTGCTTTTCAAGTAAAATGAAGTTAATCCTTATAAATATTTGATAGATCTTTCACACTTTTCCTCTTTTTTACTACAGTACGGAACCTGATATCCGGAAATCAGAAAACCAAAAAACCGGAACGAAATTTGATAAATTTTCCCACCATTTTTTTAAAAAAAATGTTTTTTCCCTCATAAGAGTTTAGGATTTTTCTTTCTTTTTTGAAAGATGTTTACCTTACCATCATTTTGGAAATAATCATTAGTGTATCTTCATCGTTTTTTCTTCTTGTTAAGATTATTTCCAAATATTTCTTTTTAGTTGGGTTTAACACTTAAAAAAAACAGCTTTTTGTAGCGATTCAGAAAAACGGAAAAATCAGTTATCCGGAATAGCGGTGGTCCTAATCGGTTCCCTACTGTACTTGGTTTCTTGTTTTATTTCTAAGGAAAACACCCCAATTTTTTCCCTGTATTCTGTTATGTAAACTTCCATCTTTTCTAACTTTTAAACATTTAATTAGTTTTGATTTTATGTGCAATTATTCACATTTATCAAACTATTTTTGGACATTTTTTTTAAATAAATTATTAAATATATACTTATTAATTATCATAAAAATACACACATTTAATATTATCACAGAAATTGTTATGTATAATATAAACTGTATAATTTTTTTTCAGTGTGAAAATTTACTAGAGAAACATGAAGCTGATATTGAAGATTGGTATTTTAATCATCAAGCTGTTCCTTTAAAGCAGTTTTTATGTATGGATAAGGCTTTGCATAAAGGAGATACAGGTATAAAATTATTTTATTCTGAATGTTTCATATATTTTGTATCTTATTTTATTATTTATTTATTTCAATATTGAACAATTGTAAGGCCGCTGCTGCTTTGGATGTTCATTTTGTTTATAGTGAAAAAACTATAAGATTTAGAAACTTGAAATTACTAAAATGTATAGAAAAGTGTACTGGGGATGGAATAAAAAATACAATTTGACTGTTAGTTAATTATTAGTTGTTAAACTTGTAGTTAAAAAAAACCTTGTTAGACATTCAATTGTCCGTGAAAATGACTTTGTTGAAATTCTATGTGCTGATTGGACCTTTTTGAATTATAACTTAAATGAGAGTTTTTTTTTTTTCAAAATTCCTATTTGCTTGAAATTTATTACAATTTGAAGTGTTTTTTTGCAGTTTTTTCTTTAAATAATTAATTTACAGAAAAAGTTGTAGAACTCTTACAAACAATTCTTGAATCCCAAGAAAATATTGGCTATCAGGGATTTGCTGCTCTTTCTAACCTGAAAAGAATTATCGAAACAAAGAAGGTTAATAGTCAGAAATCTTTGAAAAATTATTTGCAGTGTTAAATGTATGTTTAAAAACTTTTATGTGAATAGATGTGTGTGGTACAATTAATTAACAAAAATGCCAGTATTTTTTCTACTAAAAACAATTAAAGCACTTTAAATAGAATTTTTTAATTAAATTGAATTTTTTAAAGTACCTGTATAACTCGAAACCTCTTTATCTCAAATTTTCATCCTTGGATTCAAGATAAGCAGGTTCGACTGTATAAGGTTATCATTTTACCTTGTTAACAAGTAAAATTACTTCTCATTTATTAATGCTTATTGTATCCCATATTCTGTATTCATAAGTTTTTTTTTTTTTTCAAGTTTATTTTAATCTAGCTATCATTTCTTTTCATGACGATTAACATATTAATACAATGTGTTTATATAAAATTGTAATTATTATATTTCTCTACATAATTATCTTTTTTTCTTAACTTTTAAGAAAATCAATTTGAAAAAAAACGGTATCTATCATTAAATCTGATTCTGAGAAAAAACCGATATGCTCGTGGACATGAACTGTTTTTTTTTTCATAGCATGTTCTATCTTCACTAAGGAAAAACTCGTGGGGGTAAAAGAGTTCCAATTTTCCATGTGCAACAGATGGCAATCCAATCGGAACTTCTGTAAAAAATTGACATTCCCCTTGATCTTCAGTGATTAATAAAAAGCAACTACGGGATTTGGTAAGCAAAGCAGACCGCATGTAGAGCCTCCTAGTATATATGTAAAAAAAAAATTTATTTACACCTTCAAGTCCTTTTTATTTTTATTGAAATGTTAAATGCAAGCTTTGAGCATTGTTTATCTTCTCACTCTCCTTTTTTTTTTTAACATATAAGCAATGTTATATAATTTCATAGACTCTACTTACATTTGTAATTATTACCATGCCTTATAATTGTAAATTAATTTCAGTCATAAAAAGTAGTTAGTTAAATTACACGCCTTAAAATGATAAGGGTAGCTTTTGCTCACTCATAAAAATTGTACATTCTTATTCCAAAAGTGTTATTTTAAATTCTTAAATTGTAATTTTGCATTCTTGTAGACTACACAAAAGCATTTTTGTGACTGTTTGATAGATAGTAGGAGTGCTCTAGAACAAGAATTATATCATATCTTCTGTAACAAGACATATTAAATACAAATGTTCTGTTGGTCAAAAACAACTCTCCTTAGTAAATTACGTTTTTTAGTGACAAATAATTTTATTTTCCGAACTAAAATTATAAAAAGGAACCTTTTTATTTAAACAAAATTATTTATAGTTGCATTATATTATAAATTTACTATTATATTACATTATAAATGGAATAAAAATTATGATTAGATTTTTATCTTAAACTGTCACGTGTAGGATGTTGGGCATAAATAGTTCTATTCTTAACATAAGTTTTTCTGTAGGGACTTGGATTGTTCTGTGTTGTTTCATCATAGTTTTAATTGATTTCTGTTTTAAAGTTTATAAGAGAGTTTTTAAAAAAACAAAAAACTTTTCTTGATTCTGATATATTTCTCTACATTAAATGTCACTCATGTATGACTGGCATCTCTAACAACTAAACAGCTTGCCTACGTCTTTTTTTTAAAACTTTTTATCTTTTTAACATAGTCTTTGCATGTACAGTGTATCCCAAGCAAAGAATAGTCTATATATGCCATAAGGTTTATTCCATACTTTTTATGAACAGTCCTTTTTATGAAAGGTATAATCATAAAAATGGTTTAATGAATTTTCAAAAATAGGTGCCCAATCTTGGGAAAAACAACAAAAATCAGTAGTTTGTTCAGACTTTTTGTAAAACGTACGCTTTTTGTGAAAAATCTACTCATAGTTTTGGGAATAGGAAAGAAAAAAGTCCCATTTTTGTGAGGGGAAAAGAAAAAACAATTTATATCTTTTAAGGAATTTCAGTGCTAAATTGAGTTAGAAACATAATTTTTCAAAAGTTTTGTGAAGGATGATAAAATATACTCATGATAAACTGTTTAATGAAGGATGCATTTTAAGGGCAAAAAGTTTAGTGAAGAGTCTGCTAAGAAACCCAAATTTCTCCTTATATTTCTGTTGCACTAAGAAGAACAAAATAATGCTGTTTTCTAATAGTAGACAGGGTTTAATAAAAAAAAAATATAGAAAGTTTTATCTATTTTTAAGTAAAAAGAATTTTGTTTTATTTGTGAATTTCTTTAAATAATGAATCAATTCGAAATTTTCATTATTGAATGTATTTTCAAAAGTCAAGGCATTTATACTATTCTCAATAAATTCTGGAAAAATAAAAACATAAGAAATTCAACAAAAATTAGAATTTTCAATGCTAATCTTAAATTTGTCCTACTGTATAGATCTGTAAAATGGCACTGCAACAAAAATAACATGAAAAACCTTTAAGTTTTTATTAACAACTGTTTAAGAAGAATCTTGCATTCCAAGTGGTGCCATAAAATTTGTAATGCAGAAATCTGTAGAAAAGCAAAACAGAAACCGATTGATCTGGAAATTAAAAAATAGGAATGAATTGATCATGTTCTCTGTGAGATGGAAAACTATTATAGAAGCCCTATGCTGCAATTCGGAGTGAAAAAGGAATATATGTACACCTTTGTTTAACGTGTTTCCTCGGAACAAAGTGGGAGTGAAATAGTCACTAAGCCTAACCTTAGAAGAAAAACATCACAAATTACAAAGGTTAAACCTTAATGCCATAATTTTTGGTTAATTTATTATGAGAGTATATTGATCCTGAGACAAATATTGCTTTTTCGCCATAAAAATCTGGAGTCGATGTCTTCAGGAAAAAAAGAGAAGTACAAAAAATATTTTTAACAGTAACACAATGGACACAGGAGGAAATTAAGTGGTCTTTAAAGATTATTTGAGCTTAAAATACACATATGCCTCACCCTTTCACTAAACTAGTTCTCCTACAACGCATGAGTGATCTGCCTGGATGTGACAAATATTCTTACTGAATGCATATTGACTCACCTGTCCCAAAGAGATTAAAGGTGGTATAATAGTTTGACAGAAATGAGCTATATTGCCTGTCTCAAGTTTATCTCATTGTAGAATAAATACTAAGAAAAATAATTTATTTAATATTAATTTAATTTCAATAACTTGCACTATTTCTTTTCTTGCAAATATATTAGATATTTTTTTTTTTTTTTCAGAATATTTTAAGTTTTTGCCTAGTTTATGATAGTTAATCGATCGACACAAGTGATAAATTTTCAAAATCAATGTGAAAGTAAATCAATTTCTCTCATCCCTTATGAGATTGATGACCACCCGTCTTTTATATATAAATAACAAGAGACAGATTAAAAACTAAATCTGATAATAATTTGAAAATGTGTGTATGGAATGTGTAATTGTATAGCAAATATGAATTAAGCTCAGTTCAAAGTTCACTCTTTGTTTAAAGTCTTGTCATTGTTTATTTGCGTAGTTTTCTATAATTTAAGTTATCTTGGGGAGTTATTCTCTATGAATGCCTCCTTTATATGAATCTCAAGAGAACTTTACTTTTGTTTCTTTTGTGAAAGCTTATCATTTAAAACTGTTTTTGTGAATGACCTAAAATGAAATAATCCTTAAAAGAAATTTTCTTTCTGCCCTCTGCAATTTTACCACAATTTTTTCATAAACTATCAGAAGTTTAATAGGCAAATAAAGAAAAAATATTTCTTTTCAAAAAATAAATGTTTTTATTGTACTTAGACACAATTAGGAAATAAACGCAAACGTCTTATGAGCAAAAAAGAAAACTCTGATATGGGTATGTTTGTTTGTATTGTAAATCACTTATAAGGGAACTTGATATGGAAATGGATATTGTTGAAATATTTTAAGTCTTTCTAGATTCAATAGATGTAAATCCTAAACTGGACCTATATTGCAAGCCTGTAATGTTTCTGTAATGGCTTTCAATATGGACCCAGTTTTGTGTATCTATATTTTGAACATTGATCCTAGAATGGTTTTGAATATGGGACCAAAGTTAATTTCTATATGGGACCCTTACAGGCTTATAATATTGGGATGTCTAGATTTTTTTCGTGTTTGTCCTAGAATGACTTTCAGTAATGAACCATGATTCATTTCTTTTCAATCTAGATCTACAATATTGGAATGTCTATATTTTGTAATATNGACATTTTTGACAGTGAGGTTTCTGACGTGATGGTTTAAACCATGGTTTAAACTGTCAAAAACTGTCACATGTCAAAAACCTGCCAACCCTGGTCATAGATAGCTGGAAAAGAGCAGATTCATAGCCATTCTAGAACCAATATATTTTTATTTTTACTTTATAACCGTCATTGACCAGCCGACCCAATTTTGGGTTTACAACTACGAATGTTCTACTCCGTAGCCTTGTAATTTTGAACCAATCCAGAAGACAAGGAAAATCCTGGATCAGTGCCCCCAGAGGTATGATTTGTTACGAGATTATGGAGGACTTAGTGACTCGACAGATATAACGTGAATCAATCACCATTTACTACACAGGGATTCTTGAGCCTGCAGGGATCAAACCTACGACCTCTTGGACATGGTCCCAAACCCCTACCAACCATTCTATCCCAGCCCTTAGGACCAATATTAAAAAAATTTAGACAGCCCAATATTTGTCATTTGGCACATGTTATTATAGGAAGCATATTTAGCCAATTTTGAGTCAGAACTGTGGCCAAGGTGAAATTGATTCTAGGGATATTATGTGCGAGTGATAGTGTATATTATATTTTAATTTTTTATGCTTTTAATTGCATTTCTCCAGCATTGATATTTTAATTTGTTTTGTGTTATGTTATACTCAGGGTGGCCACCCACCTGGAAAACCTTGAAAACCTGGAATTATCAGGGAATTTTTTTTATACTGGAAAAAACCTGGAAATATCAGGGAAATTTGGATAAAAACCTGGAAAATCAGGGAATTTTAAAGAAAAGCTGGAAATTTTTTCTTTGATAATTTTTTTAATTTCACTAATTTAAATTATTTACTAATTTTCTTAAGCTAAATTATTTCATCCATTATACCCACTTTTTTTTAAACGGAAATGTATCGCCAAACCGTTGAAATATCATCAACTTAGCGATACTTTGCTTGCATCAAAATTTGCTCCATTACAGCTCTGTCAAACTAGAATACCACATAAAATTCTCCCACGGTTGCTAAACAAATGCAGAAACCTTTGACCGCTATGGGACTGTGCAATTTAAGAAAGATTCTGGTGGAGATGGAAGAAGAGATGAGGATATTAGCTTCTGTTTTTAAATTCTGTCCTTGGGCTGAATATATTTATGGCTCAAGTTTGTTCCGATACTCTGGCGGTAATTTTTTTTTCTATTTTGACAAAATATTTTTGTATTTTTAACTTTATAAAATTCTCCAAAAATTAGTTGGTTATAATTTAATAATAATAGATTTTATATCGCACTCTTTTTCTGAAAGCTTTTCTACTCCTATTCAAAGAAATCTGTGAATTATTTTTTCTGAGCAAACCAACCAATCACACATTTTTTTACAATCACTAACAGCAATGTTTGTCGACAAATTGTTACAATTGTTGCATTAATGCTAATTTTTTCTATTTCATTTTAACCTCTTATAACATATTTTAATTTTAAACAAAAAAGGCTCCTTTGTTGGTCAATATATGATTTTTGATTCAAAATTTTGTGCCAAAACATTAAAAAATAAATAAAAAATCTTGAAAATTGTCAAAATAAATTATTTTTTTCAAGATGATATGTTAAAAAAATAACATTTTGAATAAAATATTTTATAATATAGACACTTTTCTTGTACACATCCTATACTTTATAAGAAAAAAGAAGCAAAAACCTGGAAATTTTAAGATTTTTATCTGGATAACCTGGAAAAATCAGGGAAATTTGAAATCTGATTTGAGTGGCCACCCTGTATACTGTGTGCATTCAATGTTTTGGACTATTGTTATGGAAAGTTGTGAAGAGCTCCAAGATTTTGGGTATGGTACCCTGATAAGGTTTCTAGATTTAATTCTGTCCATCATCAAATCAAAAAAAAAAAAGGGTAAACTGTTGCTGAAGTTGTATAAACAACTATATTGGCTAGTTGCATTTGGCCCTGTGTACTGAGTTTTTAAAATTTTATGCATGTAGCTTATAAATTAAAAAAACAAAATTGGAAACTTTTTATGATACCAGTAAGTTTGTAACAGAAATGTTTGGTTCACTAAAATGTATTTTGGTTTGTCTTACTAAAATGAATTATTTTGTGTATTTAGAATGTTTAGATGAAAATTATGTTCCTCCACCACCTGAGAAAAAGCCGAAAGGAGATTCTAAAGATGCCAAAAAGAAAAAAAGAACAAAACATAAAAAGGAAGAGAGTAATAAAAAAGAAAATAGAAAAGGTGAAACAAAAGATGAATTGTAGAGAGAAAAAAAATTTATAAGTAGTTTTATTTTATGTAATTTAAATTTAATAAATCTTTTATAATTTTTTACTTTCAATTTATTTACTTTTTTAAAAAAATTTTGAATATTCCCATTTATTAATGGCATGTTTGTAAATATTACTTTAAAGAAAGTAATGTAGTTTTTATTATACAGTTGAACCTTGATCCATCAATTCTGTTATCTTTGGGTTTAGACGTCTGTATCATTTTGTTTTAATAGTACCGTCACAAATGCTAATCTTATAACGCTAATGATACTCGTCTTGATCGTTTCTAAAGATAGCTGTTTCCTGTGTCTATCGTTCAGAATTTCTAAAATTCTGAACGATTCCTCTGCACCAGTTTCTTTCCCATATAGCAAGGAAGTCAGCCTCCCTTAGCTCCATCCATCCCATTGTCAATCTGAATCTACTCCTTTTCGTGCTTGTTGGCTGTTTGTGAAATTTTTTTTTTTTTTTAATGTGGAATCATCATCCATTTTAAGTACATGAAGCCGCCTAGTTCATACGGCTATTTTAAGAATTTTACTTGGCCCTTTTTAGATTTTATATATCAATACTCAAAGCTATATCTTCTCCAAACATAGTTGGTTTCTATCCCACCAAAAATAGCTTGCAAAACTCTTCTCTCGAAAATGCCTATTTTATTGTCTCCAGCTTTGGTCAGGATCCAGTTCTCTGAGTTATAGGTAAGTATTGGTCTGTTATGGATGGTTCTCAATAGTAGTGAAGATTAACTATAAAACCAAGATAAGTAAAACTGTCTAATAACCTGAAATTTGTGAGAACCAATTTCCAGATGAGATTCATGAAAGATTTCATTGCCTAGTATAGACATATATTTCGTCTTAGCACAGTTTATGCTATTAGTAGCACTCTCTAAAGTAAGGATAGTCTCTATTAATGTGGGAACAGTTCTTAAAATGATGTCAATATCACCCACAAAAGCCAGAATTTATATTGATTTTGAAAAATGAAGCCTCTGTTAATTCTTGCATCTCGTATGACTTTCTATAAAGCGATGCTAAAAAGAAGACAAGGTAAAGAATCACCCTGACTATTATTGATTTTGATTTCTTTAGATAAAAACCCCAAAAATTTCATCCTGTATGTAGATATACTTGCAACTAGCTACTACAAGTATGATTTATTTAGGAGGTATTTGATAGTCAACCAGAGCTTCATTAAAGCAATTTCTATTAATACTATAGTAAGCTTCTTTAAAGTTAATGAAAAGATGTGTGGCAATATCGAATTCTCTGGTCTTTTCCAAAATTTGTCTTAAGTACAAAGATCTGATTTTTAGTAGATTTCCTTATGTAAAAATCACATTGATAACTTTCAATTTAAGAGTCTATATAGTTTAAGTCTTTTAAATAAGATGTTAGATAAAATTTTATAAGTAATATATAACAAACTGATGTCTCTATGATTATAACAAACCTATATATCACATATATATATAGGTTTGTTATAACAAACCTATAAATCTATATATCATAAAAGAAAAAAGTTCTCACAAGTAAACTTTTATATAACCAGAAAGCAAAACTGAAACTAGTTAACTTGAAAAACAGTTTAAGCTGAAGAAAATTAGCTTTGGCAAAAGTATTTATCCAAAAAAAAGTTCTTAAGAGAAAGTCTTAGGTGATATTACACCTTTTTGTTTTTTTGAGAAAAATATAAAAAAAACTTCAACTGTCTTAAATGCACATCAGTTTTTATCAGAGATGATTATCATTAATCCAGGATGACTGCCATTTAAGGAAGAAAAAAATTTACAGTCAAATGTTCTTTCAATTTTATGTTGAAAGTTCATTTTCAAAAGACTATCTACATTTTTATACATAATGTTTGTTGCATTAATCTGCCTTTTTTCCTGGTCATTTCTTACGTTTTACTTTTAAATAAATTATTTCTCTTTACTGTAACATACAAGCATTAAAATAGAAAAATTATTACTTTTGGACGGTCGATTGGTTTTCTCCCTCAAAATGTGTATTAGAAACCAAGCAAGCAAAGCATCTATCAAATGCAATGTATCTAAATATATATATATATATATTTTTATTAAAGAATTCATGTCATTATTCTTGGTATATATGTAGTATGTATTTAGTATAGCAGGTGTTTACTTTCTATAAAAAAAAAATTTATATATATATATTTTAGAATTCAGAGAATATAATAGAAAATTATTTTCCAAAGCCCAATTCTTGAAGTTTAGTCAAGTGTTAGTGATGCAATATTTTTGTGCAAATGTAGACTACATTTTGGAAACTATTTATTTTCTTTGGAAATTTTCCCTGTTTTTTATTAGTGTTTTATAAGGAGCCCTATAGTACACAAAATATTAAAAATGTTTCTTGGATATTAAGAAATAACATTTTCTGTAAAACAATAAGTATAACAATATAAATTTTTTTATAACATATCAGGCCTAAAATAAAAAATGCTAAAACTGCTGTATAAACATTTAATATGTAAACATTCAAACAAAACATCCAAACACAACATAGAAATATATATATAGCTTCCGAACATTTTACAGACACATTTTGACTTCAAATACATTCAAGGAATGAATTTTCATTGTATAACAAACATCAACTGATTTTTCTAATGCTATACTAATGTGCATAATTTATAAAGAATTTACAACATTTTATATCACCGGATTATAGTTAATACATCAAACAATAAGTATAACACACCATAGTATATAATTTTTAAAAAAAACTATAGCTAAAAGGAACATTTCATTTAAGAAAATTTACAACGAATAAAAATTAAATTGAGCTATTTGGCACTGTACATTTAAAATGTGTTACAGAACATAGATAACATATATTTATAAAATAACATACTGACATATTGATAACATATTTTGTTATCAAAACTCTATCAGTTACAAAAAGAATCAAGAAACAATGAATGTAATTAAAAAATGTTGAAAAGACTCTATATATGGAAAGGAAATAATCTAATTAGAAAATACAATAGAAATAACCTTTTTTTTAAAAAATTACACTTCATTTTAGGTTGGGATAAATCTTTTAAAAAAATAGATTTGATCAAATTCAAACATTTGTATGAAGATAAAAGAACTAAAATGCATAATTACAATTAAAATTCAGTATCATATTCAGTATTATATCATATTTTTTTCAGTATCATATTCAACATACTGGATAATGCATTAATTTTACATTTAAATAATTTTACTATCTTATATTATTAAATTAATAACAATTTTTGAAATTGTATTTTCATATATACAATTGTGTTGCTGTAAATTTATTGCTCTCAGGTAAAGGAGTTGTTTAAAAATTGTAGAAGAACGCCTAGAAATTTTATGCCATTTTAACAGTAGGTCAACCAAAAGAGCTCAAAGAAATAAAATTTCTATTGAAGTATATTACATTTTGGCTGTGACTGAGTAATGTTATGTCAAATTTTTAAATTCTGTGAAATCTAAATGTTTAAATTATATAAAAGAAATAAGCATAATGAGCATAGATTAAATTGACTTAGATTCACATAAGTTAAACTATTTAGTTTAGAGAAAACGTGGAAATATTATAAACCAAAACCGCATTTATAGATAAAAATATAATAGGAAAAATCAATAAAATTACGATGAACATAAAGAGTAATACTAGTTTTAAAAATTATAATAACTTATAATTCAAATAATTTTAATGAATTAATCATTGTGAGTAGGGAGAATGAGATCTAATAGTTGAACACAAAAGTTTGTAAAAATGTTGAGTTAGATAATTATGTATGCTAAAAAATTAGCTACCATATTTATACAATTTGAGGAATAATAAAATTAAACTTCTGACATAACATAAAAAACTGATATGATAAATCAGGAAACTTAAAGTAATATCACATGGCAACAGAAATTGAAAAATAAATGTGAATTTACAGAATTCATTCAAAGAAATGTTCAATATTGTTACAAAAGTAATCTAGTAGCAATGTCTAACTGAAATATTATTAATTTTAAAGCCAAGAATTAAGTAAAATTATATATTTTCTTCTCGATGTACTATTTTGTGTTAAATTACAAATAAAAACCTGTTTTATTTCAAGGAAAAGCAGAATTTCTGAAGTTTTGAACAGAGAAAGAACCAATTTTCAAAAGGTTAATAAAGGAGAAAAAAAAATAAAGGAAAACATAACATTTAAAAATACTGAAGGATGAAATGAAACACTTAAATTTTTATTTATATTTAGTTGACACTTTTTTTTGTAGAAAATTTTTGTTAAAATATAGTTGCTACAAGTCAGTTTTTTTTCAATAAAATTAAAAAAAAAAAAAGATTTTTGAAATATACATGTTACACGTTGAAAAAAACATTTATGAAAAAATTACATGTTTAAAATTTTTTTTGCAAAAGAATAGCATACTGCAATAACATTATGCTGTTTTTTAGCAAAAAAATAGCATTTTTTTTGCAAAAAAAAAGAAAACATACAAAAAATAGCAATACACTTCATAATTCTAAACTACATAGCAGTTTAATTGAGCATAGAATTTCACACAGTATATTTAAAATGAACTAGTTACACATTCACAATCTTTAAAAACAAGGGAATGAGAAAAAAAATGAATGAATATAAATGCAATGCACTTTGATATAAACATGCAGTTTAAGTACTCGCTAAAAAATAAAGTTAAATGTTAACACAAATATTACAGAAATGAGATTCTAATAGCAAGAACAGAAAACAATTTAATGATCAACATAGAATGACAATATTAAATTTAAGCCAAAGAACTCAGACAATTTGATAATTCAGTTTTGCAACCAGTAGTCATTCAAATGATGCATTGTTTAATTAGAGTAATACTATCTCTTGAACAATGACATTTCAAAGATTAAAGCAGCTGCATAAAACAAAATGTCACAATTGCAAGACACGTGAGACTTCAAACATGAAATATGATTGCGGCTTTTTGGAATAATGAATTAATTCTTGTAATGAAATTAAAAAAATATATGCCTATAAATTCTTGAACATGTAATGTTAAACATTAAATAAGAAGCAGGGGTTAAATTTAAGCAGAAAAACTTGAACAATTTGCCAGTCCCTTTTGGACTATGAACCATCAAACAATTTTATGGTAATAATGAAAATAGCGATAGCAATAAATTCATTTAAAACACCAAGAAAATTTACTGACTGCATTTGTAGGGAACACAACTAAGATTTTTCAAGTAATCTAATAACTAACTAGAAACAATATCTTTTGAACAATGAGTGCCTTCAATATTTCTAACACTGCAGCATAAAATAAACAGTCTTTGCAATTACAAAACAAAGGAAACATCAAGTGAAAACCATGATTCATGTTTTTCTAATAATGAATTAATTAGATTTTTAATATATGCTTAAAAACTTGAAAGAATGTTAATGATAAACTTAAAATAAGAGGCTGGAATTTATAAATTCAAGCTGAAGAACTTAGGCAATTTACCAGTTCTTTTTTGCAACCAATAATCATAAGACAGCTTTATGATAATAATACAAATGGTGATAGCAATAAGTCCATTTAAAACATCAAGATAATTTACCAACTGCTCTTGTTGTGGACACAACTGAGATTTCTTCAAGCGATGTATTGGTTGATTGGAAAACACACTATCTCTTGAACAACAAATGCCTTGAAAATTGCGAACAGCTCGGTAGTTGTCCTGTAACCATGTTTGAAAACGAACAGTGTTACAATCACAAGTCCAGGGATTATCAGAAAGGTACATCTCATCCAATAAGCCACCACGGAATTGTTCCAGAATATGAATTGGTATTTCTGTCAAACTATTATTAGAAAGATGCAAAGCAACAAGATTCCTTAGCAGCCATGTGCCTTCTAATCCCTTTAAAGAATCAATAGCATTATTGTTTAAATACAAAAATGAGACATCTGACCATAAAGTGACATTAATGTGATCAATATTAAGAGATTTAATGTTATTGTTGTACAGGTCAAGAACTTTAGTTTTGTATGGTACTGCTCCAGGTAGTTTAACTAATCCCTTATTGCTGCAGTTAACCGTAACTATAACTTTATCTTTAGAGATTGTGCAATTACACATAGTTTCATTACAAATGGGACTCTCGTCTATTTTTCGTTCAATATATAATATTTCCAAAGCGCTTTGCACTGTATAATTGTAATATTCAGGTGGATCTTTACATATGGCTCCTTCTTTGTAAGCTTCATATTTTTTTAACCAATCATTCATATGGAGTAACTTTTCATCACAAATCCAGGGATTACCTGCAAGAAGAAAACCTTTCAAAAAAAATTCCATGTTCACCTTAAGCATAGACAGACATTTGATTACAAGCAAAGCACATAGCAAGATTCAAAATTTAAAAAAACTAAGATTTAAATTTCAGTAACATAAAAATATTGGAAGTTGTCTGATCAGTAAGCAGTTTGCATTGGGTTGTCCAAAAAAATTGTGCTGATAAATACATTATCTAGTGTTATACAATTGGCACGAAATTTCTGGATAATCCAATGCTTATTACTTATATGTAACTATTTGATAGTAACACAAATATAAACAGCAATATGTAAGAAATATGCTTTAAATTTAGAACTAGGTATGAAAGAGATTTAAAAAAAATATAATAAGTTTAAAATATTCAAATTCGGGAATTGGATGACTTATACAGCGTGGTGCTTATGATCTGCATAGATTTTACCCAGTTTTACTGTAATTTAAGGTGACAATGTTTGCTGGTTCAATTTTATTATTTTTTGGGTGCATATATCAGTCCATGCACCCAAAAGACCATTCTCTAGCTTCGTGTCTGTTCGTCAGTTCAAATAATTTAAACTCAATGATAAACAGTTAAATTCACTATGTCAAAAATGTTTCGATGTTTGTATTATCTTGATTTTTTTTTTATGTATGTTCATTAATTTGTATGGACTTTTCCTATTAACTTAATTTCCCACAGAGTAACATTGTAAAAGCTGGTTTGTCACATCTGTAAATAACTAGACTTCGTTGCATGAAATTACAGACTAAATATTTAAAAGGATTTTCTAGCAAGACTAAAGTGCCAAAATAACTATAATTAAAAAGGAATTATAAATTATGGCACTATAATGCCTATGAGAATGTGACACCATGAGTGTTGTGGTAAACCTGGCAGAGGGAATATACCTTTGTTAGACCTGAGAAGCACAAAGTTTTCTTTGTGCTAAAATGACTAACACTTGCAAGTAACTATGCCCAGTATATGTGTCTGATAATAATGTGATTTTATTGAAGGTGAATGTTATGACAGAATTAGGTAGCTAGACTGAATTACCACCTCTAACCACTTCAACATCAACAACGCTGAGCACCTCTCTATTCATTTGAGCACTTTGCCATTTAATGAAGAATAAGAACTATGTTTTATTCATGACATGATTTTAATTTAAAATAATATACTGCTACAAAAGTAACAAACCATAAATTTATTATAATGTAACACATAAAACTAAGGGCTTTGGGCCCGTGCCTAAGGTATTGTGAGTTCGATCCCTACTGAACGAAGATTCCCCATGTAGCAAATGGTGCCTATCAGATCACAAAGTCCTCCTTGTTCCCATAGAAAATCATACCTCTTGTGGTACTAAATTGGAGGTTAATCATTGTCTGGTTCAGGTGAAAATTACGATCAGTGGATGTATAAATGGATCCGCCATATAAAAGAGCTGTGACGTATGTGTATAAAAAGAGCCGTGATGTGTGTGTATGGTAGAAATCGAATTCTTGGCCATAGATGGCGCCATTGGAAAACAAGAAGCACACATCCTTTGCCTTAATGGTATATATCAATAATAACATATAAAACTAAGTTTACACAAATAAAAAGCTATAAGGGAATATAAATGTTTCTGTATTTATACAAGTTACATTATCAGACTAAAGATGTCCCACAGTAGACTAATCATAGGACACAGTTCCCAGTACATCACCGAAATCAGGGATGAGATTAGCCAAAAGGCAAAAAAGCTGAATTTCCACGATGGTAAATTTTACGCAAGCGCAACCCTTTAATAATAAATTCCAGACAGTTTAAGGTAATAAATAATGTGTTGACATACAATTGTGTACTAATCTATTATTATATAAATGATTACATTGATACTTAACATTTAGTGAAAATAAAAATTACCAATTGAAAAAATAAAGCTGGAAATTATATTTTTCCTCAGTTCACATAAGAGACAATTATTACTTGAAAAACTACCTGGTTTAGCAAATTAAAACTACTGAGAATATACATTAATATTTCATTTCTTTTAATAAATACTGTTATGTGATTTATAGCAAATATATCAGTAATATTACTTTTTAAATTATATTGGAAAAAAAAACTTTAACAATGGACCGAATCATTATGTTCATATTATAGTCTAATCTAACTAGAACCTTTTGAAACATATCAATAACAGTGAAGTAGAAATATATAGTAACTCCTTAACATACAAAAATTGCTATTTTAGTTTGAAAAATTACATGACAATCAGAAACTGTTTAGATAATTATTTTTTATTTGATAAGAATTTTGCATTTTATAGCATAAATAACAGCAATTATAAATTAAATTTTGATGATGAGTTAATTAACTCTTTTCCCCCCCGAAAAAAATTTTATTTAAATCCCTTTTTAAGTGATAGCTTTTGTTTGCTATATCTTTTAGGTCTGCTATGTTTAGTCATTAGTCCATCTTCAAACATCTTGAGACAAATTCTGTTTTTTCCAAATACAAACTGGGATATAGAATTTTTAAAACGCGTAAATACAAATCACGATTCATAATTTTTAGATCGCGTAAATTCGAATCATGATGCATAATTTTTAGATTGCATAAATAAGAATTATCAATTTTTAGAATGCATGACTGCGAATCCCAATGCCTTATTTTAAAATCACATATAAATACGAAAATCAACGTTTGATATTATAAACCGCATGAACAAATCAAGACATTGAATTTTAAACTTGCGTGAATACGAATCACTACATAGGTTTTTAAAAAGGCGTAAATATGAATCACAATATCGGATTTTTAAATCTCGTAAATAAGAATTGCAACGTACAATATTCACATCGCGTGAATAAGAATCGCAACACGCAAATATTAAAAGCTATGTTTGATATTAAAATCGTGTGAATAAGATCGAGATATTAGCAGATTCCAGGCTTGGGACCTCGAGAAAGCTTGTCAGAAGCAGAGTCGTTTGAACTACAAAAATCGGATGTATCAAGAGGGTGGGTAAAAAATTCAGAAAATCTTATCTGCCGCGAGTAAAAAGGGAGAAAATAGTTAAAATAAGTAAAAATGAGAAAGGATTGGTAGCTATGTAGTTTGAATTTTCTGTTTCTCTTTGAAAATCGGTGAATTTTCTGAAAAAGCGGAATACTTATTAAAAAAAAGTGAAATTTTTAGAAAAATCTGAAATTCAAGAGATAAAAGTGAAAAAAGCGGAAATCCGCTAAAAAGCGGAAAAATCTCATCCCTGCGAAATCAAGCATCACTCGTCTGCGATCAGTGAACTGTTGGGTGACCCTTATCATCAGCCTATGAGCGGACCAAGGGTGCGCAGCATCGGTCCTCATTAAACTGTACTACCATAAAGTGCTTGTTGCATCCCGTCTGTAAAGTGACCATACCAAAACAATTGCCATGGCAGCAGGTTGGGAAAAACTTTTTAAAAAATCACAGAAGGGGTCTAAGTTATAGCCACCCTACGACATTTCGGGCCTTGGTGATTATAGCTGGCGTGGCAAATCTTGATACAAAAATTTTTTAAGCCTGGAGTTTGACCAAAGATGCACAATATTGGTCATTGTTTAACTGTTATACCATAAATTGCTCAACTTGGCCCGCAGATCATCTGGCTACCAAAGTGGAGGAGCCATTCCCTTTGCAGATAGATTGAAATTGTGCTGGTACGTGATCAGACCATCCTCACTGATGTTTCTACCACCGTTAACAGTAGCCCATTGAGTAGCTCTAGTGTGATGTATTTAATCACAAAATTGTCCCAAATAATAATATTTAACCACATATAATATTATTTTGATTGATACCTATATGCTTTAATTATATATAGGATTATTATATATGCTGGAATATTAAGTAACCAAAGCTCCTTTACCTGTGAGGTTTACTTGCTCCAATAATAGATTTTGTTTCAATGGATTTTCTTTAAAAGTAGTTAACTCATTCATAGACAGTGAAAGAAATTTCAGGCCTTTCATTCGTTGAAATCCGACATGAGAAATAGCTTTTAAGTTGTTGTAAGACAGATCCAAATACTGCAAATGGCTAAGATGACCAAAACTATTGTTATTAATTAATTCAATTCTATTGTGACTTAAAGAAAGGTAAAGAAGATATCTGAGTGGTGAGAACCACTTACTTTTAACGAGTTCTATATCATTGTCCGAAAGATCTAAAAATAAAAGATTGTGCAAGTTTGAAAAAGTATCTTCCCCAATGGTTTTAATTTTATTTCTTGAAACTGTGAGATTTTTTAAACTCATTAAATGGTTAAAATCAGAATTTTGTAATTCATTTAAATCATTGATGGATAAATCAAGGATTTCCAAATATTTCTGCTCTTTAAATGCCTCATCTCCGATGGAAGATATTTTATTATTTGAAAAATTAAGTATCTTTGCAGATGAAAAGACTCTTAGATCACTACTGCCAATAGTGGTAAATGTACCATTGCGTAGAACCACACTTACAAAATCTCGAACATCATTTTGAGATTTGGTGGCTTTCATAGCAGCCTGTAAAGCATCAGGCCCTTCACATAACAAATTAAACTGAAGTTGCTCTTCTTCGGGAGATAATACACTCTCACATTTACAAATGCTATTTAAAATTTTTCTAGTAAAACAGACATTACCTGAATCATCCAAGATAGCATTGGATTTTATAAATAATAAAGAGACAATTAATAACAATAAAGCCATTACAGTATTTCTAGAAAAGCATCTCACAGTGTTGTTTTTTAAAGGCTAAAAAAGAAAGAAATAATCTTATTAGACACTATAAAAAACAGTTAATTTAAACACTTAAAAAGGCAATATAAACTAACTATTTTTTTCCTTCATAATAACTACCAGAAAACATATGTTGTCAACCAATATGATATAAAAATATTCATATAACATTAATGCAATACTTCTATTCTTCCGAATATAAAAGAAAGAGTATTTGAGAGTCATTTTAGGAGAAATTTCCGTCGATTAACGGATTCTTTACAAAAGTTTTTATCATGAAAAAGAACCCTTCACAAAATAGTTTACCCTTAAAACAAATCCTTTATAAAATTTTTATCACGGGAACGGTTCCTTCTTTCAGAAAGTTCGAACCAACTACTGGTATTTGTAATTTTTTTAAAAATCAGGTCCATAATTTAACGATATCACAAAATTATGAGTAGATTTTTCACGATTTTATGAAAACTGACCTTTCACAAAAAGTACAGAATAACCATTAAATGCAGATAAATTGGCCACCCCGTAAGCGGAATTTTTTCAGGCTTTCTGTAACAAAACTCTCTAGCACTAATATCTTTCTGCAAGATACTTTCAGTAATAACAAAGATGTATGAAACTAACATGGAATAAATATGCATAAGTACATACCCTCCAACTTATGAGAATTTTGAAAATAATTCTTTCTAGTTGTAGCGAACCAAAGTAGAAATTTTTAAAGCAAATGGATCTCTCATAAAGCTTTTATCAGAACTTAAGAATCTAGCCATATGGCCTGCACTTTTATAAGTAATAGTGGACAAGTTACGCTAAAATAAATTTTTTTTAAATATTAAGGCATTAATTTTGCTACCGTCTGAAAAGAAGATTTCTGAAACTACGGAAATTCCGTAGCAGTTGGAGGGTATGTAAGTAGATACCTCTTTTTTGAAAATAAATTTGTCAGTTATTGAATCTTATTCTTATTTACAATCAGAAGCACTTAAAAATCTTTTTTAAGTTTTCTCAAGATAAAATTAAAACACCTTTTAATGAAAAAAAAGATATTGTAATATATTTACTAAAATAGTAACCTTAAATACTAATATACTTTTAAAAAATATTTTCTAGAGCAATTTCCTTACAAATTTTATAAAATACTGATGGAAAACTTTGATATTCATGGTACAAACGCGAGTATATTTAAAGTTATCAGTGTTTTCACAACAGTGTGAGAACGCGAGAATCTCGCATATTTCTTTCTTTTCTCTCATTAAAAAATTATTAATGTGAGAAGTTCGCGCACTCTATTAATCAATTTTAAAATGTGGGAATCTCTTAAATTTTGGAAAAAATTTCATCTTATGCCATTTAGAAAAAGACATGAAAGCAGCTATAGCAAGTGTTGAGAAAAAAAAAATGAGTCCTGTATAATAAGTTGTTTAAAGTTAGCTCTATTTTTAGCTGTTAATGAATTACCAAACTCCCTCATATACAATTTACAGCAATTTGTAAAATTTGAAGTCTGTGAAAATTACACTGGAAGACCTAATAAGAAGTATGAACATGGAAATAACTTCAGCAAACTTCACTATTCTATAACAGAAATAATTCAAAAGCCTATGCTGGCAGATGTAGAGGACAGGAAAGTGTGTGCACAATGCTACAAATTTAATTAGTGATTCCGAATAGTTCAGAATCTGTTACAAGGTCATTTAGCACCCAAAACCAAATTAAAATAAAATATCACAACAGATTGACTGATGAGCATTTGAGCAACCTAATGAGAATAGCTGATGAAAAAGTTGATATGGAACATTTTCCATATGCAATGAAAATATTCTATGGTTTAGAAGGTAGAGAATGTTAAAAATGTATTATAAATTAAAGAATTTTTTTTCAAAGTCTATTCATGTTTTTTTTTTTTTTTNCCAGAAATGATCAGGATTTACCCCAGAATTGATCAAGAGATGGGGTAATTCCTGATCACTAAAAATTTAAACTCTTTTAAATTCTAATTAGATTTTTAAACAAAAGAATGTAGCATAGGACTCATCTCAAATAGCCTCAAACTTCCAGAAAATATTAAAATTCTATCTTGAATAGTTTTTTCACAAAATAGATGTTTGCATTTTTTGATCAGGAATTACCCCAGGTCACCCTAATTCCAATCCCCATCAAACAAATAAAATATTTTGCTAATGGAAACATCAAGCTCAAATTCGTATTAGGGTCTACTTGTAAAACAATAGCTGTGTGTATTTTGAGATAAAAATAAAGAAAATAAGAAAAAAGGTGTAATAAAAATTTTGGTTATATAATGGTAAGGAAAGTAATACTTTATGTGAATCGCATTTATTATGCTGCTACCTGCTGGCGATATCTACGGGACATCTCATTAAGGCAGCACGGAGATCTCAAAACTTTTAATAAAAGTGTAAAAGTTAATGTTGATGAGAGATTAATGTTTGGAAATTAAATTTGAAACCAAAACCAGTCCTTTTTTATTCTTATAACTCAAGTAAATATTATAAAATGATGCTATTTTTTTTAAAGAAAAAATGCAACAAAAATAATTTAAAATATAATATTAACTAAATCAGTAAACTGCACCAATACATTTGAATAATGAATTAAAGACTTACTAATAATTACATTTAAACACGATTTCATGAAACTTCTTTTACCTTTCTAAAATCAAAACTGACTGTAAACAAACAGAAATATTATTTGTTGCCAGATTATCGATTTAGTAAGCACATGATTTCAGATGTTAGCATTTTTCTCTGTTAGGCTTATTCTCGCTGTAATAAAATCAATCGATGCAATTGCACCAATCAGATTCTCAGTCGCATAGGCAAATATTCGCGTCATTTAATCCAGTTTCAATCAGCTTTCCATTAGCCTCTCGTAAGGCAGATAATATTTACTTGCCTAATCATATAAGAGTCGGACGAAGGATGGTTTATGACTTTATTTTGAAAACAATCGAAAAGTTTTTAGTTTCTAAGCTTTTATGAAAGTAACAGAGTCCCGCAGTGGACTGATCGATAAGACACGGTTCCCAGCAGATCACCGAAGTCAAGCATCACTGGCTACGGTCAGTGTGCGGGTGGGTGACCACTTGGATCAGTCTGCGTAGTGACCGAGGGTGGCGGTATTGGTCCTCGTTAAACTGTTCTATCGTAAAGTGCTAGACTTCGCGTGCAGGTCGTCAGGCTACCCAAGCGGGGGAGCCAATCCCTCTGCAGAGGAACAAAATTGTGATGGTATGTCTTCGGATCATCCTCGAGGATGTTTCCCAGACCGTCGCCAATAGCCCATTGTGCAGCTCTAGTGCGACGTAAATTAACAACAACAAAAGTAACAGAACAGAAACTGCGAAAGACGGGAGTTTATCGAGAGATTAAGTCAGCAGAGTGATTTCACATAGCATGAATTTAGTACAGCAGCGCCGACTAAGTTATTTAACAATGAAAAATAAACATACGACTTTTTGGAAAATTTTAAGAATTTTCTATCCCGAATATATTTATTAGAATGAACTATCCCGGCCATTTTCCAATTTAAATGGACAACTAGCCAAATTTTCATCTTGTAGTTAAGTTAACTGACTATGCGGCAGGTCACCGAGGTCAAACATCACTGGCTGCGGTCAGTTTGTGGGTGGGTGGTCACTTGGATTAGTCTGCGTAGGGACCAAGGGTGTGCGGTATTGTTCATCTTTCAACTATATTCTAACGCAAAGTGCTCAACTTCGCTTGCAGGTTGACGGGCTACCAAAGCGGGTGTGTCATCCCCTATGCAGAGGATCAAAATTGTGATGGCATGTCTTCGGGTCATCCTAAGGGATGTTTCCTAGATTGTCACCCATGGCCCATTGTGCAGTCCTAGTGCAACGTGAATAAACTACAACAACAAGCACGTAAAGAGTCATATCCTGACCTGCAGTTTTCGCCACATAGCAAAACAGGTTTTTTTCTTACAGGTTAACAGGTTAATTAACCTTTCATTTTTTTTTTTAAATAAACTGTTGTTTGGTATTTTTTTACTTATTATTTTCCCTTTTTTTCATATGTCTATAATTTTTCTTTGTTTTATTCTTCATTTTGAACTTATATATATATATATACATTTTGAAAAACAAATATGATTTTAATATTTTGCGTGAGCATGGGTAAAATCCCTCCTTGCCAACTAAAAGTTAATCACAATACCCCAATCCCCTTTAGTTTCTTATGTCTTATGTAATATTTGGACGTAACCGTAAAGAAATTTTTAAATCTAAGACTTTAGATGAAATAAATTCCAGAAATATATACCGAAATGCATTATAGAAATATTTATTAATAAACATTTTAATTTTAGCACTNTATTACTGTTTTTTTTAACGATGCGAGTCTCTGTTGAGCGGATTTGTTCAATGTATTTTTATTTTTCTAACTTTTTCATAACTATTAATATTTTATTCGTTATTAAAATAGTTATAATTCGTAAAAATAGTTGTATTTTTAACGCGTTTCATTAAATAGTAACTAAAACCTACGCTAAATATTATTATAATGAAGTCAGTTTTGGAAACAAATATGGGTTTGCGCAATTTTAAAATTTTTTTTTCTTTTTGAAACTATAATGACATGATTTTTTTCTTTCCAGTTTTTGATCTTTCCGTCTTGATATATGCAAGCTTTCAGACGTGAATTAAGGATTAATAAATGAGTTTTATTAACATTTTTTAAGAAGCATTTAAAAGCTTTATTAAATGAAACAAGCAAGATAATTTTGTCTTGATATAAAATGTGCAACAAAGTTGTAAAGATAATTCTGTTTCACCCTGTATATTACCATTCCAAGACCTTTGTTTTAAATCTATTTAAAATTCTAAATTTGATTTTACAATATTTTAAGAAATTTTCTTTTGAAATGTTTTTTTTTCTGCTATGCTCTGTTTTGGTGAACTACAGATGATTTCAAGACTCTTTAAAAATTTAAAATTGAATCAAGAAAATAAAAAGTTCTAAAGATGCCCGGAATTTTTTGTCACTTTTAATCTAAAAATGTTCACAATCAGATTGCATTAACTTAACTAAAACTTACATGAAATTTTATAACAAAATTTTTATCTATTATGCAGTTTGCTCAAACATTAATAGGCTCTCTTTTCTGCTGCCATTTTAATGTCTCGAATATGGACTATTTTGGACTCAGTTTAGTAGTTCTAAGTACCTCTGTAATAAAGTTGAAAATGGTAATCAGTATGGAAAAATGTATAATGGCTGAATTACAAATAAATTTATAAATTTACTCTCGGAACAAATATATTTGTATATATAATAGTTAATAAGTATAATATTTTAATTGAAGGAAATCTGAGTATTATCTTCCATTTGAAAAAAGACGTCACAGTAGTGTCAATACATTTTTTTTAAAAAATTCCTGTCACTAAATATTATTAAAATTTAAAACTATTTCTAATGATTTTGTATATATATATATATTATTATTATTATGTAAACATAGATATTATATAATATTTCTCTCTTGAAAAATCTTAAAATTCATTATATAAAAATGAATCTTCCATGTAAAGGTAGAACATATGTCAATTTTACAAAATGAATTTTAATTAATTTATAAATCCTAGTTAATTTTTTTGGTTCTCTTTATTCACTGCACGAATTCAATTCAGTAAGGTCTAGTTTTGAGGAATAAAGAGTTATTTTAATCTGACAAAAGCTAGCAAGTTTCATCTACATTTCAGAGAGTAAATCAAATCAAATGGTTTAAATATTCTCTGCTAAAGATAAGAAATTATATTTTTGCAACTGTGTTTTATTTATAGATTGAGGATAAGAAAATATGCTATTTATGGAAGTATGCAGCAATTTCAAGATCATGACTTAGACTTAGACTAATCCATAATCGGTCTTTTTGCGAATGCGAGAGAATAACAGGATTGCTTTTTCCTCTTCCCATAAATAGGTAACTTGATACCTCGATCGTAGGTGGCAGCACAATAATTTAGTTTCTATTTGAAGTTCCAAATTTTGTGATGCTTATAAAACCATTTTGTTCAATCCTATTTAAAGATAATTCTGTTCTTTTATTTATTTATTTCTTTTAAATGAAAGACAAAAATTTTGCCTTTAATGTCATGTTTTAAACTGGACGATGAGAGAAAAACTCCCATGGTTAAAAGGTTTTAACGTTATATTTCGTTTTTCAGCGTAAAATATATAAAATATGAATGAATAAAATAAAATAAAAAATAATAGGAGACACTTCAGGTTGATCAATGAAAGTGATACGAATTTCCACATAATCTTTTTCAGAGAAATTTTTTTTTACTAGTAATCATATTTACTCAGTACTAAGGAAAAAGATAGAAGGAAAAAAAAAACAGTAGATCTTTGTATAACAACAGTATTTATTTCATTCTAAGTATTATACTGTAAGTTGTAAGGGCTTAACATATAAAGTACTTTACAAGAAATGACTAATCAAATTACTTTAACTTCAGAGTGGTGTCCCAAAAATGACTGATGATTTTAAAAATCAATTAAAGAAGAAGAAACTGTGGCGTTGCGGTCTGAAATGCAAAGTCCGAACTACGAATCTCTGACGTTGGACTACGTAGCTTGCAGCCGGTAATTGACGTAAACCTCATACCTGAATGGAGATATGCGTGAAGGGCGAAATCAGTAAAACGCGCACAGTATGTTTTGGATATAACTTGGCCGCATCCTCACAGCTTGCTCTCTCTCCCCGTCGGTTCTAGCTAGCAATTCGGCATGTTCTCGCCGGTTACCTTTTCGCAGTTTTTTTCTATGCTACCTCAATGTTAAAGTGGTTAAGTTTTATACATGTTAAAATGTTTTAGTTAAATTTACAAGTTTCCTAAATGTTAATAAAGATAGTTATTTATTTAAACTTAGTGTTATTTATGAAGAAACCTATAACACGTTCTCGGAAACATTTTTATGTGGAACGCTTTCCTAGAGTTATATTTCTTTTTAGAGTTTAAGTGGGGACTCTAACAAAGATACCAAACAA